GTTTATTTCACCCTCATCTCAGCTTCACCCTCAGCTGTCCGCAGATTGCTCCTGACCGCTCTCCATGCTTCACCTCCAGATAACACAATAGTGCGTGGCATATGAAATGCACCAATTCCGAACATAGGAACCCCAAGAGAACCTTTCAACGGTGGAGGCGGAGGAGGAGGAGGAGGAGGAAGAGGAGGACCTAGCACAGCGGTCTTGATCATGTTGTGCATGTCGGTCAATTTCCTCTCCAGCTCCTCCATCTGGTTCTGCATGTGCTTGATCCCGACCGCGTTCTCCGTCACCGTCAGAGCCACGTCAGTGCTGATGCCGTTGACGCTCTCAGCTCGCATCTGAGAGTAGTGCAGTGCTGCCTTGTAGAAGAGCTGCGCGGCATCATCAACTCCTCCTCCTCCTCTCCTCCCTGCTCTTCTTACCGGCTCGTAAAGGATGTTGTTCTCCCCCACACCGCTCTCGTACGCATGCTTGTTTCCTTTCTGGTGCTTCTTTGACAGCTGCGACTGGTAAGCTCGCCAGGCATGCTGGAGCATCTGAGCCGCTGCTGACTTGCGCTCCTGAGGGGAAGGAAATCAACAACAGAGAGTGCGAGGAGGAGGAGGAGGAGGAGGAGGAGGAGGAGGAAAGGAAGCAAGGGAGGAAGTTTCCAAAAGCTTCACCTGCTTGCTCCGGATATTCTCAATGAATTCCAACACCTTAGACTCATCACGTGACAGGGTGAGGCGGTCGGTGACAGCGCCGACAGCCAACGCGACCAAGACGACTAGAGCAGATGTCAGGAGGACAAGACCGAGGACGAGGCAGGATAAGATGAGAAGGGAGGCGAAGAAAACTTGAGGAACCAAAAGTTGCCCACCTGCAAGAAGAGCAGCAAAGATAGCGACATATCGGCCCATGGGCGTTTTGGGATAGATGTCTGCAAACAATCAGTAAGCCGAGAAGACGAAATCAATGATGTTGTGAAGGTGAAAGGGAAGCATATCATTCGAACCCACCTCCGTATCCCACAGTTGTCATGGTGATGATCACAAGCCAGACGGAGTTTTCAAACAGGTCGAGGTTCGTGTCAGGACCAATGGGACGCTCGAAGACGATGGTGGCATATGCGAGAGTCACCACAGAGACGATAAAGAGGAAGAGGAGAGTGCTGAAGAAAGTCAAAGTCATCCTGGGGAAACCAAAAAAGGAGCTACTATATCGGAGAGGGAGCAGGGCAAGGAGAGAGAGGAGATGGAGGCAGAAGAACTTACAGCAGAGAGTCACGGAGCATCGCTTTGCCGATAAAGTGGTAGGAGATGTCCACATTGTTCATCAGACCTGTTCACCACGAGGTCAGAGGCATCAGCTTGCTTGTAAGGTCCAACATCACCAATGAGACGCGTCTTCTCATTGCGAAGTCCTGAAGCCTCTGCAATGATCCTTGGCGTGTAGTGATACAAGCGGAGCATCATGAATACAGTGACAAACCCTGTCGAGAGCGTTACAAACCCGCCCCCCGAGCTCTTGGTCCATCACCATCACTGCTGTAGGCACAGTAGGTGTCCAAACCCCAGATGTGAACGATGTAGTTCACAAAGGGAAGCGGATGGATAAGAATGATCGCAGTCTCGATAAGAAAAGGTCTCAGCAGTCCAGACAGGATGAAAGCCTGGTCCATGCCACGATCAAACAACACTGCGTCTCGCCCCTCCACTCCCACTACCTGCAGGTAACTGGTTCCCATCACAGTCTTCCCAGACACCTCGAGAAGTTCGAATTCCACGGCATAATACCTGAAGACATGAAAATCAAGACCACATGCTTTCACCCTTGTCACACTCACTGGAGGATGGAATAGAACAAAATGAGAGTAACTCCAGAGTTGAGCAACTTGATCAGTTGGAAGGACATCACGGGGATGTTGCGATTGTGCCACAACCTGAATGATTGCGATCAAACCCAGCAAGACGTCATTCAAACAACAAGAGCGTACAATTCGTTCTCGATGACGGCTATCAGGATCCCAGTGAGCGCCAGGCCGATAACCCAGACGTTGACCTTCTGGCGACGAACATCAAGTTTCTGGAGCTCCTCGCTGCCAACCAAAGTGTCATATCGATGCAAAAGAGTGGAATTCCTCTTCATGGCAAGGCTATGCGCTTTCACTGACCATCCTCCTATCATGTTGCTCTGTCCTAAATTGTACTACGATACTCAACCCCTCTACATATGGAGGTCAAATGTATCCACATGTACATAACACATGTTGGATGCATTCAACCAGCATCAGGCCTGCTTCTACATCTCGAAGCAATGTCGCCCGCACTTGAGCGATCGCACTCAGTTCTTACTGGGCGATTCCTCACCTCAAACAAGACTATCTCACCACCTCCCCGCGTTCTTTCACACGCACGGCGTCCCCTCTCCCCTCAGTTCGTGATTTCACTGCATCAATGCGAGGGCATGTGCTGTGACTTACCCTCGGTTGAACGCCATGGGCTGATCCATAGCCTTCAGGGCGGCATAGTCTCCCTTCATGTTCTATTTCGGCGCTCTAGACCCCGACCCTCCACCACCCCTGTTGACCTACCATGAGTACCCCACCCCATGAACCAAGAATTCATATACCCCTACTTCACAATCTATAGTACCCCTGGTTTGTTCATTTTTAGTTATTTTTATGACCCTACCCTATCAATACAGAATATAAAAGGGGGTAGTCAGTTACTCGTCATTACTCGAATTAGAGCATGGTGTACAGGGGTAGTCGTAGCTTACCTTGGAGGTAGGGGTATATAACCCCACCCCTATTCGCGATGTTGAAGGGAAGGGTAGAGGCAGCGTGCGGGACAGATATCGTACTCTTGCCATGTCAAGGAGAAACACCGGTCATTTTATATATGAAACGGGGGGTGGGGGTAAACTCAAACCCGCCTCGGATAGTTCTTAGAACCATTGATAAAGACAGCACATTAATAATATCTAATCATTTTTGATCCAATGCAAAACTCCTTCAAAGGTGAGGCGGACATGGAATAGACCCCTGTGTCTCAAAGACAGAGCTAGTTGCCTCTGTAGTTTGGGTGGGTAGTCAAGCTATAAATGTAGGGTAGGGTAGGGTGGATATCAAAGGTCCGAAGGGGTGGGGGTACTGTGTCCTTTCGCTCGCCGACATGCTGCAGGTCTGAGAAATGATTCAGGAGGAGTGTGGAGGAGAGGAGGGGAATGGAGGGATCGAGGCAGGTTACAAACATATGATAACCTTGTGATAGAATGGAGGCAAGAAAATGAGAGAATGATAGTTGGCTGGTTCAAGTCCTTAGCTGCTTACAAGACACTTGTGAACATAAATGCGATCTTGTGCATTTATGTTCATGCAATGTCAAGGTGTATGTACAGAGTGATCAACATTGTCTTCTTGCGTCTATATGTGTTCACCCACATTGAGATTGTCAACAATGATAAACCGATTGTGACATTGCTGGAAAGGTGAACAGAGTGAAAACATTTGATGGGAAATTGTGGACTATGTTTATACCCACGACGAGAACAATTGAAGCTAGATGTGGAGGAATGAAACTGATATGTTCAATTTTGCGTATGTTTTCTCAAACCATGGTAGGATGAGTATAGTGGACTTCTTCTTTTGGATCGAAGGTAGTTAGGAGTTTCACAGGCTCACATGGATAAGAATAGATCGCCAAAATCAGACGTGTTTTCGGTGTTTGTGAACAAGTGTAGAAACATGAAATCATTGAGCTTTGAAGTTTTGAAGTGGATTCCGTGGTGGTGTCAAATGTGTGAAACACTCAAGTTGATTCCATAACTTCCTCGTGCTTTCTTCTGCACGCCATCAAGTGTAAACGTGTTATGTTAGACTAGATGAGCAGACTGCACTCATAATCACTTGTCCCTGACGGGAAAATTTATCAGATGTTGATGGGTACGAATGTTAGTCCCTACGAACAGCCCATGGGCGCGAAGGGAAACGGTATTTGTAGCTCGAGGATCGTTGACTACAGCCCGCTCGCCCAACCATGCTCCAACGATTTTGCCAAGTCAGGGATGTACTCGAGGCCGAATGCGTAAGTTGAGCTTGTGATGATTTGAATACACGGTGACTCCTTCACAGCATGAGCGAGTTAGAGCACTTGAGGCCTGGAATGTACTCAGGAATGAAGGGGGGTTACGATTCTTTTTGGAAGGTTCCGAACTGGGGAAATCCCTGAGTATTGCGAGCAGTTCCAAGAAATTTTTGATTTGTCATAGTAAAACATCTTCGTTGAAACATGCGTCATGACGGACATGGCAGTGACAATCAACGATCTGTGATTACTTTCATTCAGATTCGATGACGATGGCTGGGACAAGGCCGTCAAGAGGCCATTCCTGGGGAAGGTGAAACTGCAGGTGCATGGACTTGGATGCAGCCTGCGGCATGACCTTCGAGATTGTGCCAGGGAAGGGAACGTAGAGGAGAACGGGGAAGAGAGAAGGGAAGGGAGGAGTGCAGAGAGAGTGGAAGGACGAGGGAATAAGCTAGACTGAGCATGGCGGCGCCCGTCGGACCTGACGAGTGAGCGGGTGCTCGCGAGGCCTTCAGAGTCACGATGAGCGCTGAGAGACTCGCAAGTCACTCGCCACGTGGCCGCACTGACAGAGTTGGAGCTTGAAAGGCTCGAGCGGGACTGAAGTAAAGAAGAGCTCATGGCGAATGTTTGGCTGAGACTGAATGAATGAGTACGATGAGACATATGTGCCCGAGATTGAGAAATTCAATATCGAGGATGGTGATGACGATTCTCAGTGTGATATCCGTTATGCGAGTGTCTTGTCTGCTCTTGTGGGTAGTTGATCCGACGTCTTAGAAGCAAATGGCTAACTCAAGGTATCAGTACATTCAAAAGACCTTCAAAGAGAGGGCCTTTCGAGGAGCGATTTACCGTTCAATGGACAAGTCTGACGGAAATAAAGATGAATTTTGGATATTCGATACACACGAAAGTCTGTTGAGTTCCATGTTGCGGTGTGTGCACTGAATTGATAAATAATTGTTGACGTCCTGCAAGAAAAAAACACACAAGAAAACTCCAGGCTCTCTTTACAGTTGGAAAGAGATATCAAGAGGAGAGCTTGAAAACGAACCATATTGGTATCATAGTGCAAAGTGAATTCAATCATAGTGATATATAGCCGCAGAGAGACATAGCAACACGCATTGAATGCTTCTTGTATCTAATTCGTCTGTATGACATGTTCTCACCCTCGCAAATAAACGAGTTACCATCTAAAGCGGGCAATAATGTTCGTATCAAATGTCATCTAACAATAGAGGCCTGGAGCAGCGACAAGGGCTGTACCGCCGACATGAGAAGAGGGAAGCAAAGAGAAGGCGTGCGGTAGATCTACACATGCCTCCTAGCTACAGCACCAGTGGGGGATAAACTTGTTGAAGAAGCGCCATGCTTGTTGCTCTTGAGCGATCTTGAAAGGTCGGATTGACACTCGGGCATAGACCGACATTGACAGATCAAACACATATCTATCTACATGAAACCTGGTGTATACCTGTGAGAAACAATCCATGTCTTCCCGTCGACACTCTTTCAAGGTCTAAACCCTTTTCGTTATTACAAGGATAGTACAAGGGTTCTTATGGTCGTCATGCGTTGAAACACCGTGGGTCATAACAATGTATTCATGATTTGGATCACGAAGACTTTTCTATTTCAGCACTTACAATCATAATCATAGAGTGATAATCAGCTGAGCTGAACAAGCAACTAAAAATGTGAGTTTTGCAATTTTGCTATTCATACTCATCATGATTTCTAGCGAAAATGATGGAGACTAAGGGGATGCCTAAACCAGCTCTTGAATGTTTGCAGGTCAATAAAATTGCATTGCGGGATTATAACGAGCTAATGCTCTCGAGTCCAATTCTTGACTGTCTCAGAAAGGAACGAGAGCTTCTCGGCCCCTTCAGTTTGTGACTTTCTCATGTAGACGATGGCCTCCTTTGTAATGATCTCATCTGGATTCTTCTCATTAAAGCTTGTTCGCATGTTGTGCGGCAGGTAACGATTCTTGAAATTCTGGAAGGCCTGTGGGGTTGACGGCTCGAAGGTGATTGTGTAGCCGGTCTGCATCCCGAGGTCATCGAAAGCCTTGTGCTGCGTGCACTTGAGGTAGACGGCCTTCCTGACGCCGCTGTCTAGATGAGGCAACATGATCCTCCAATACCATATGACTTGCCGATCAAAGGAATGGAAGATCATCTCCAGCATCGTGATGAGCATCTCGTACTCGCTGACTTGCAACAACATCTCATGATTCGAATGTCGGAATATCATCTCTGAGTGATGATATCCCAGCATCTCTGCAACCTCATCGCCTAACTTGAGTCGCCTGCAATGCGCCAGGTTGGCCTTGTCGAACTCAATGGAAATCCACCGACCATGACCCCAGTGCGCGTTCGACGAAAATAGATCAAACCAATCGGATGCACCACTGGAGGATCTGTCGGAGCACTTCTGATTGTCGTCGAGATGCAGGTCATGGGAGAGCCTTCCATACTCTTGCATCTTGTGAAGCTTGGCCGCTTCTTCCCCTAAAATGCTCAGGTTTGTGAAGGCAGTGGACTTGGCGGTTTCGATCGCTTCGTCCATGGCCATCTTCAAATCCAGAGGCAATATCCTGAAAGCCCTGAAAACAATCGACGCGTTCAATCCGAGCTCCCAGAGTGGTCGCACCAATGCGATGTTGACTCCCACTTGTATGCACGCATGTCTGAGGGACTCTAGGGCGATGTCTTGATCCTTTGTCTCCTGGAACAACGCTTCTTGCGCACTACAAATCGTCGTATAACACGGAGCAGTAGTAGACTCCGCTTGACATCTGGCGCTCGTCCCGGCAACGATACACATGGCACATGGCCGTACGTTGCTGCATTTCCGCTTCTTCAGTCGGCACTCTGAGCAGGAGTTGGTAATATACTTGGATCGCTTGCGTCGAGGCAAGAGCTCGACTTGGAAGCCCTCCATGCAAGGGTGCAATTGATAATGTAGAGCCCAATCGCCAGGGTCGGCGACAGTGACCGACACGCTTGTCATGGCATCCAGCGATTGTGCGAGGTGATTTGCCGTCTTCCTGTTGAGCTTAGACAGTCTCTCCGACATCATCAGACACCAGTCATCGTGATCTGTTTTTGGCAGTTTAGAGGAAGACCAGCAACAAGCAGAGGGAATGATTGACCTGCTATAGTTCGTTTTACTCCGCTCTTGGTTCTTGTCATGTTGGCTCGATTGTTTAGGTAAACCTGCGATTGTTCGTTCAACACATCGTGGACAACAGGCACAGAGTTTCCATCTCGTGATGGTAATGAGCAATACAAATATGAGAATGTTTCAATTATGAATCCCATAGTTATAGAGAGTGTACTAGTGCGCTTTTGTAAAGCGAGGAGCAGTGGTGATGTGTGTTGCAAGCTCAAAATCGAAGAAAGGCCATCGCAACAAGAACAAGACGAGGTGGACAGGCATAGGAACGGAGGAGAGAACAAGGGAGGACGTTGGTGGCGGACGAAGGGAATGGCCTTGCCTGGAGGAGCGCGACTGCTGCTGCGGCGTCGGAGGAGTAAGGAAATTGCAGGGCGGAGTGGATCTTTACAATACAGGGGGGGAGGTAGGCAGATAGACAATATAATAATATTATCACCCACCCTCCGGTAGTGAAATATTTGTACCCCACCCCACTCCTGGCCCAAATTTAAAAACATAGTTTTACTCTTAACGCAACAAAAAAAAATGAAGAAGGGCAGAAGAGGGTGATTTGCTGGGACAAGTGGGGTAATATGAGGTGGTGAATGAGGATACAAGTACCCCACCCCTCCTGTAGCCCTGAAAAAAGAGGCTGTTTACTACTACCATTACCACCCCCGGATCCGCTACACCCCTGTTTCATCAACTGTAAGACAGAAGGCTTTCTGGTAATCAGGTTTTCCTGAGAGGAAATGCTGCCCACAGCTATCCCTAGAGTCTAGCAGGTGCGTGAGCTCGATTTGGTATACAAATGCTCCGAGGCTCTGCGATCAGATTTGCACTTCCGAAGTCGCACCCCTGGGTCCTCCGAAAAAAAAGTCTTATTACTGTTATTAAATCGGTTTTGTTATCTTTTGGCGGGTCCGGTACCTGTCTATCGGTTTCGATGCTCTCAGTAACAAAAACCTTGAGATACGCCCGACAACGCTCTTTACTACACTATTTACATTTGGCGTGTCGGCATGTTGTCACGTTACGTTCGGCTAGGCCAATTATTTTTTTCGGAGGTCCACCGGTGTCAGCAAGTCACGTAGCGGATCAGATCGGATCCTAGAGAGACAACCCCACTCAACGGGGTCTGCCACGGAAATCCTCTCGAGTCGATGACCATTTGACCGACTTGTTCTCCTTGTCATGGTGCAATCTGTCCGTCAGCAATCGCATTGCAGCCGCTGGTCGGACTTGAAATGCCAATCGACGCAGTTTGCTGTCCGGCCGGCGCCCTGGCGGGGGCCCCGCGTGATCGGACCGCGTTTGGCGCTGTCAGCCGCTTGCGGAGTTTTCCGATGAATTCTGAGGCAGGCCGCGCCCTCGCTAGTGACTAGGCTGATCTAAAACTAGCCCGGTAGTAGAGTAGGCCACCGTCGGCAATCACGGCACCAACCAGGCTTTGAGTAAACAAGTAGGTACGGTACCATGATACGCCGCAAAGTAACTCATCCTGCACTACCGCTCACCATGTGACAGTTTCGTACTGATTGTTTACTTAACTTTGACTGAAGAGTTTAAAACTAGGGCTTGACTTGAAGGTTCCGACGAGTCACGTCCGACAGTCCTCGACCGTCTCGGCAGTGGCATTGTCCTCGTACGGTACTGATTTTTAACTTAACTTTGAGTAAAGAAATCCGGTCGCGACAAAACTTAAAGCCTGAAAGTTGAAAGAAAAACGAAGAATAGGCCGCAACGTTCAACGGAGGCCGCCGGCGGGGCCCCTCAGTGACGGTGGGGGGCCCGGCCGCACTGTACCGGGGGGGGGGGGGGGGGGGGGGGGTGGGCTGCCCCCGGGCCCGGCTCGACCGGAGCCTAGTGCATCCGATGATCATCGATCATACTACGGACGGTACCGTCGTGATCAGTGGGTCATTAGGACTCACGGATGTCCTCAAACGGTTAAGTTAAAAATCATTACGAGGACTCGGACAGCCTCGGACGCTCGGACCGTACCGGCGGTCGAGTCCTCCGGTGACTGTCCGATACGGTCAGTCGCACACACAGGCCATACGGCGTCTTCAAAAGACAGCGAGACTGAGAACCGTAACCAGCGCCGGGCCGGGGCCCCCGGGCGGCCCTCATCCTGCCGGCCTCCGGACTGCTCACGTCATCGGATGATCGCAGGAAGATGCTGCACTGATTCATTGCCAGACCTCACAGTGTCATCCGTACCGTAGAATCAGCTGATCTTAGGATCAGCTGATCTTATCAGCGCAGCTCACAGGTTTTGCTTCGCCCTCCGAGGCTCCTCCTCTCCTGCAGCCCAGAGATAGGAAGGTTGTCGGACTCTGAGCCGCTAGTGCTAGGTGGTGCCTCGTCCTGGTATTCTGAGGTTCTTTCAATCTCGATGAGGACGATTCTGAGCCATCAGAGTCTGCCGCTATGTACATGCAGTGCCTTGTCTCATGACTTGATCGTGTGCTAGTTGTGTCATATTGTGGCTCCTCCTCTCTCCGAAGGGCCGTCCAGGATCACCCCGAAGCTTTACGGGTTGCAGACGACAAAGCGAATGCTCAAGGCACCTCCACTGGATCACACACACAGGTGAAGAGTAAACATATGAAGTTTAGTTGACTACACAAACGTACTTTCGATTCGACCACCTTAGCAGTTGTTGACGATTCTCTTATAGTCGAGGGGAACCACCAGGGGTGGTGAGGCTTGCCTCTTGCACGAGTGAGCATCCCTCGTGCATCTTCTTAGATCTGCTGACTGCTCCTCCTCGAGGTTCATCCGATCGTACCAATACAGGAGATACCCAGCACCCGTGCTTTGCACTCTGTCGCCCAACAGGCTTCTTTTGCTGCCCGCTCCTGCTCACTAAGATTCCTTCCTGCGAAGGCTTGAGCGTGCCTTCGCAGAGCTCTGATAGATCAGACTGAACCCCGCTGGACAGCTGTACCTTCGTATCAGGAACATTCTTTTCTATCCAAAGAAGGAGTCGAGGTAAAGAGAAGGGATGAACTCGGACATTGCAGTGCTCAAGACACAGGGCACAGTAGCCGAGTTTATACTTGCTACTAACACAACCACATCTCCCCTAAGTGTGCTCCACCAGCGTCCTTAATCTATTGCTCTTGCAAGAGGCCCCGCAGATGCCAGCAGGTGAGGGTGCAGCGGCAGGGCTGCCTCAGGGTCAACTGCTCCACCTGAGTTCTTGCCCAACTTGCCTAACTGACCATTTCGCAGTTTACAACGCCTGCCACTACTCGATACCCAGGCCTGAGAGGTACTCCAACACATCCGAGTGACCTCCTTGTCTTGCCGCATGCGTACAGGTCCGATACCTGCTGTTATTACTTGTCTCCCTTAGCAGTTCCTCCCCGCATGTCTCCGCGAGGTATCGCACTACCTCCACGTGCCCTTCCGCACTCGCCGCAAGCGCACATGTCCAGCCATCTCCTCTCGCTTCTCTCAGCAGCTCCTTCCCGCATGTCTCCTCAAGATAACACAGCACCTCCACGTGCCCTGCGGAACTCGCTAGAAGCGCGCATGTCCAGCCATTATTGTCCTTCTCTCTCAGAAGCTCCTTCCCGCATGTCTCCCCAAGATACCGCACTACCTCAACGTGCCCTTCCACACACGCTACATGCACACATGTCCTGCTGTTATTACTTGTCTTCCTCAGCAGCTCTTCCCCGCATGTCTCCGCGAGATACCGCACTACCTCAACGTGCCCTCTCTCACTCGCCGCATGCGCACATGTAGAGCCAACATTGTCTGTCGCCCTCAGCAGATCCTCCCCGCATGTCTCAGCGAGGTATCGCACTACCTCCACGTGCCCTTCCGCACTCGCGACACGCGCGCATGTGCTTCCGACATCGTCTGTCTCCAGCACAATGTTTTTCAGAGTCTCTTTCCCGCAATGTTTCTCAACCGTCTTCAGCACCTCTACATGCCCGTATGCTGCCGCCCAATACACGAAGGTCTTACCTGTTTCATCCTTCGCTCCTACCTCTGCTCCCGCCACTATCAGCTCCCTGACGCTCTGTGATCTCCCCAGCATCCCCGCTACATGCAGCCCTGTCCTCCCGTCCTCCATACGCTCGTCCATGTCGCATCCAGCCGTTTTCAGAAGTGCGATCAGCTCGCCTTGTCCTCGTATGACCGCTGTGACTGTCGGCGGCTCCCCGCGCTGGTCTGACGTTAAGATCCGCAAGCCGTACATCTCGCACAGTCTCTTGCTCTGCTCTTGACTGGCCTCATCGCCTGCTGATGTCCGCGAGCTGATTTTGTACATCAGACCCGCCATCGTCTTCCAGTACACCTTCTGCATGCTCTCTTGTACAATATCGCAACATCGATAGTCCCCCTCAGTGTCTTCGATCCAGTGTCTGATCTTGTTCATTGCCATGTCCTTGACTCGATTCGACAGCTCAATCGCCTCCTTGTAACTTGACTCCTCGTTGTACCACTCAGCCTCCCTCTCTCTACTCCTCTTGACGAGGCCCCAACACTCCTCTTCGATCGATCGAACAAGGCCGTAATGATAATCCAAAGCCGAGTCATGTGATGCCGTCCTCAGCCGCTTTTGAATCCTCCCCTCCCACCCCTTTACGTCTCGAATTATCTCCCTCGCGAGGTTCTCCATCAGCCCCACGTACAGCTGCTTCCTCTTCCCCACAAAGTCCTCGATCGTCAAGCTCATCGTGTTCGCGTTGATCTTCAGCTCCAGCACCTTCACCCGCCTCCCCTCTACCTCCCTGTACCGCGGCTTCTTCACTACTTCCAAGTACGATAGCGGCGGATACAAGATCTCCCCCTCCCCTGGGTACTGAGACACAAAAGTCAAGCTTGCCCCCCGGTCGATCGCCCCGCAGCTGATCTCGAACAAGGTCGACTCTCCCTCCTCCCCGGCGTACTGCATCGCCGTCCTGACGTCTGTAGTCGTGCTCAGCAGCCCGTACTCGACTCCTCCGGACACCCCGAGCTCGTCCTCGTTGAGGAAGCTCTCCGGCAGCCTCATCCCCTTCAGCCCCCTCCACACTCGTAGGCCCTCGGGCAGAGGCGTGTGACGAGACAGCTTGACGATGCCGCTGACGATGCAGTGGATGGTCGTCGTGTATTTGTTGGGGATCTTGTTCAAGTGTCGGAGGAGCTCTTTGGGAGCTCGAAGAACAGAGTTGTACTTGAAGTACATCGGTCCTGTCATAGCAAGGCTCTTGTCAGCCATCTCACAGGCTCTTATGCCCCGTTCTTACAAGATGCTCCTTCTCCATCTCTATCTCCTACCTGTATAGAGCTGCAGCGCGATCAGCTCCGCATCCTGGAGCTTCGCCTTGATTGCCGTCTTGAGCTGTTTCAGATCCTCGATCCCTCGGATGACTCGAATCCCGTCCGACAGCCTCCGCCTCCTCTCGGGGTCTGAGACGTTGAGCCACTCCTCCTTTGCTGTCGTCCTGATGTTGTAGTTGCTCGTCGTAAACGCTTCCTCCGCGTCCTCGCCCTTGCAGTGCTCCTCCTCTATCGCTTTCATCAGTTCCGTCTGAGGTAGCCCGATCCGGTCCGTTAGCCCCCCGTAGTACTCCTCGATCTTCCCGTACACGGCCTCGCGTACCTCCCCGCTGCCTGTACCGTCTGACTCATTCACCGCAAACTTGCTGTTGTGCGACGTCAGACCGTCTCCTCCCGCCCGCCCTCCTGCCTCCGCCGGCCTCCTCAGCGCCTCCGCAAGCCTCCCTGCTATCGCCGTCTGCCATAGAGCCGATAGAGCGCTCTCCGTCATCCCCTGTAGCCCCGCAAGAGGACTCGCCGCGCTCCCGCCGGGGATGCACTCCGCCATGACTCGGAGGATGTTGAGGTCGTCGAGGCTGCTGGCCTTGCGCTCGAGCTCCCACTCTATTGCGACTCTGACCTCGTAGTCCTCGTACGAGAGCCTGTCAAGGCCTGTGTGCTGCATGAGGGCCGACACATCGACGCCGAGAGAGCAAAGGAGCTTGTTGTTGAGGAAATTGAATCGCAGCGAGTCATCGGACATGCCGATCAGCTCGCGCAGAGCAGATTTGATCTCGTCGGTCAAACGCCATTCCCCGGCTCCCGATGGCCTCACCTGCGTCTTGTCTGATGACTTGAGGCTGGAAATGCTTGGCGGGATCGTCTCTACGTCTCCTTGAGACGCTGGGAGGTCATTGACAGTCTGCTTTCTCAGCGCGGCCTCGAGCTCTGAGATCCTTCTTGTCGCTTCTTCCAACTTCTGCTTGAGTAGCGAGTCATCATGACCCTCCTCGGGTTTGACTTTGGACGAGAAGCAGGGGAAGCAACTCATGTTACTTTCTCAGCCAAGGAAGAAACCTGCTACAGGAGCTTACATGAGCCGGTGTCAGATATTCTCTCCCCTCCACCACTCTCAGGCTCCCACCGAGTCCCTCCCTTTATGTCTCTCTGTCTCCGGATCTGCCCCTGTTGGTGGGTCGATGCATGGCAAAATAGCTATTTACGAGCACATGAAGTGTTCATCTCAACAATTGCAGTGGACTCGTCATCAAAACACTTGACTAACACTGACTTCTCCTCTCTTGCTTACCTATGCATACCTTGTTACCTGTCATTCTTTTGCCCTGCTTCCTATACTATTTCCTCCTCTAACCACAAGTCTTTCTTCTCCAGTTCAAGGACCATTCGTGGAGGAAAGTGGGAGAGAAAAAAATGAGGCAGGAAACAAAAAGAATGCGAGGGAGATGGGGGTAAACAAAGAGAAAGAGAGAGGGATAGAGAGGGATCGAAAGAGAAGGAGCCGAAAAACAATCGATCGACCGTGCATACACAAGAGCTGGCTCGCTTCCATCGTTTCGGTTACGTCTTCGTCTTCTCAGTTCTTCTACTTCTCCTTTGCCTGCATATCTCTCACGAGCTAGTGACAAGATAAGCTTGTCGACATCATCGCTCAAGGAGCTCTCTCTCTCTCTCTCCTCCCGCACTGAGGTCCATGGAAGAGACCCCGACCCTGTTCACGATGGCCATTTTGATCCTCTATGACGCTTCTTTACTCATAGTTGAATTCAAAATTAGTAGGACGTAAAGTAGGACGCTATGGCGGTTGCAAACAACGGCCCGGGGCCAACTCCCCCCCACTGGCACCATTTGACAACCGTTGAACATTCCCCCACTCGTACTGCTTTTTAAGGCTTAACTTTGAGTAAATGTCCCCCACTCAGTCTGCCAGTGCCTACCCCATGATCTTATTACTGAGTTCGGAAGTTCAGGGCCCGGATAGTTCAGGGGTAGCCTAGTACGGTAGGGGTAGTTCCGAGTCAGGCCAGGCCCGGGCAGCGGCACTGCGCCGGCAATCATTGAACCCGGCGGCAGTGACCGGCGCCGCTGCCGGGCCCGCGGCGGCCGCAGCGCTGGGCCTCGCCGGCGACTCAGTGACCGTGCGGCCAGGCTGAGGCCCTGAGGTCCAGACCGGACGGTCGTCCCGCCGGAACTTGTGACGCCCGGTCACGCGGCCGGACCCCGGGCGGCGGCTCCGACCCCGAGTCAGTGAGTGGGCCGGGCCTCGGGCCCAGGCTCGCCGCCGCCGCCGGCCCCCGGCCGCGGGCCGGGCTAGAGTCTGGCCGGGCATCACCGGTCACCGTACGGTCCGACGGTCCGATCATCACGGTACGGTAGTACCGGGGCCGAGGACCGCAGTGCACTCCGCCGGGCCGGGAGGCCCGGCTCCGGCGGCCCGCCCGACAAGGCCTCCAGAACCATCTAGCGGCGCAGATTTGGGCATGGCTTGAAATGTTTCATTCGATTCATCAAGTTTTGAAATTATGAAAATTGATTTCGGTCAATTTCAGACCTCCCAGGCGTGGAAACCCTGGCTCCAGCCATGGGACAGGGCATGGACGAGGGGCGTGCGAGTCTTGCACCGCAGACAATGGGCGAAGAAAGAGAGAATGGTGCTACTCTTTCCCTTTGAGTTGCTAGCTATCAGGCTACCTGCCCGCCTCCAACACGGCATCGCTCCCACAGGCGACCCTTCTGTTAAGTGAATCCCCTCTCAGATTTTCTCCTCGTCCCATGGCTCCTCACATCAAGATGGACATGCTTCTTAGCTCGACTCCACAAGAACAACAGACCAGTCAAGTCATGAGGAGAAGTTCAAGCAATCCCTCCCTCATGGAAAAAGAGAAAATGAAGCAACCGCAGTCCGTCAGCACTAAGGTCCAGTCCTCACAGCCATGTTTGCTAATTCCGAACTCCCTGATCCACTCTTGTGTTTTTCCAACTTCAGGATATCTTCAAGAAGAGCATGCAGATGCTCTATGTGAACCCTGAAGGAAGTCACATCGAGGGAGTGGAGGTTTCTGCACCCTGCTGCATGCTGTAGCGCCTCACTTTTCGCAAGCCTCACGTCAAGCTGGATCTCATGGTGGGCATCTCCTGCTTGAGCTTTGCGCTCCTCGCTGTCTTCTACGGGATGATGGGCCGATACGCCATCTGTGCTGTTGTCTCCGTTGTAAGTCTCTTCATCCCAATCATCTCAAGATCTGCCAGCTGACGTTTTAAAGGTGACTGTCACCAGCGTTCTCTCCGACGCTGTCTTCCACGGGTGTACGACTCTTGACCTTATCGATCGATATGTCGCAACAGCAACTGCACTTGTGGTTGGGTACGACTGCTTCCGGTACGATCATCGAGCTTCGGTCTTGTCCCACTGAGCACTTTAAAAGATGGATGTGGGAAAAGCCGGTAGAACTGTCGGTTTGGGTTGTAGCGTTGCCGACACAGGTCTTCCTGGTGAGCTTACATCACTCTTGTTGAGATTCATGCCTGATATGATAGCATCTCCTTGTTCTATCTCACCCGAGTGAAAGTTGCGGTTGTGTGAGCAGGTCGGTGCTGACTCTCTGTTCCCAGTGTATCGTGCCACTATGCTTCCTTGCCAAGTCGAGGAGCTGCCTCATCGGCTCGGAGGAATGGAGGTATGCTCACTCGCTCTGGCACATCATGGCAGGGGTTTGCTGTGTTACAGCGTCTGCTCTGTCGCATTTCTGTTGGAATTCGTAGCTGTCTTATCATTATCCCTTCCCCTCTTGGCAGTAAACCTCTCACCTTCCGGCTGGTTCCTCTTCAGTCTCTCCCCGTGCTCTCCATCCCTGTATACTAAGGCAGTGCTCTCCCTTTCCCTCCATCTCCTCCCTGCCTCCCTCTTTCACCCGGCAGTCTCCTTCCATGTCCTCCTACTCCCACCCACTTCCACGCCTACCTCTTTTTTAAAAACCTCCTAATCTCCTCGCCCCCCCGCCCCCCCACTCGCCCGCCGCTGACTCCTCTGCGGCTGCTAACTAGTCTCTCCTCATCTCGACCTCTCCATCGCACCCGCAATTTCTTGTCACAGCCATGGCCCGGTTTGTAGTTGCGGGCAACACAGTCTTGGATGTACACGTGGAGGAGGACGCAAGTAGTGAGCAGGGAAAGGGTAATCTACCATCTGACGAGGAGAGGTTGGATGGATGGGGATCCAACGTCAGTTTCCTCAGGTGCTCCCTTGCTCCCCTCGAAGCTTTCCTCTGACCTGAGCATGCAGGGCGCCCATTGTGCCCTCGCTGGGAGGGTGCGGAGCGGCGACTTCATGGCTGCTGGCAAAGCTGGGGAACGAGGTTGAGCTCGTGACGAACCTAGGGAGAGACACCTTCGGGATGATGTCAAAGAGTTGGTTGGATGCAGCAGGTAGAGCATGCAGTGTTGCTTGACGTGCCTCTCAACATCAACAGGGGTGAAGGTCGCTCCAAGTCAAGCCAACACAGCCGTGAATGTAATAAGAACTCGAGGCTCACAACGAATGTCGTCCTACTACAGGGGCGGAAAGCTTGTTTGGCAAGAATGCACAAGCTGCATGCCTTGCGGCTGGTTGTACATGTCAGGCTACAGCCTTGTCGACTCAGAGGACGTCAAGGACGTAAGTCAGCGGCCTTCATGAGCTGTCTTGACCCACACTGAAGATGATGGTGCTTGCTCGGCTGAGAAAGTTTGACAAGATCGCGCTCGACACCAGCCCATGGTTTGCAGGCAGGACATCAGCAGAGGAGATGCTTCAGGTACCTCCGCACGTTCGACACGCGGAATAACCGCGAGATGCAGCTGTGGCAGCACATCGATGTCCTGTTGGGAACGGAAGAGGAGCTCTCTCACTGGACGGGAGGAGGGCAGGGGGAGCAACTTGCCCGAGCCTGCTGCAGGCATGGCCCAAAACTCGTCGTCGTCAAGCGCGGAGCAATGGGAGCAGCGTGGGCCACTGCACATGGAGGAGGAGAAGTGAAGGAGAATGAGGCGTGTTCAACCCTGAGACGCTTTCGGGCAGGTCGAGACCGAGACGATCGAAGGAAGGAGCTCGGTGGGAGCTGGAGACTGCTTCAACGCCAGGCTGGTGCGATACTACAGTATGCTGCAGTCCTGCTCTGACAGGTTGCCCGGCAGCTGCACGGGCTAGCGAGGGGAGAGGAGGCACAAGAAGCTGTGAGAGCGGCTGTCAAGGTTGCGACAGAGGTTTGTGATGCTGAGGCGCGGGCTGTGACCTGAGGTGACGCTGCTTGCAGTTGGTGCGAGTGGGGAAGGGGATTGCGGGGATAGAACATAACATTCAACAACTCGTCTAGCTCCTCCTGCTGTCACCTTCACCTCACTCACATATTGGCACCCGTCACGCCACGTGCTCTTTGCCGTCACTTCGCCTGACCTTGCACTAGTGCCCGTGGCCATGAGTTGGGCAGATTCACGTACGCCATGGTGAGCACCAAGAATGCTGGGAACCTCAGGGTCCAAGGGAGGAGGACGCGCCAGCCATACAAGGAGCAAGGAAGGAGAGCTGGGCCGGGCTTTGCCAACAGTCTCCGAACGATCTCAGTGCCTTCTTCGGTCTTTCTCTGTCGGGGATGAACCTTGTTCTTGAGCTTCAAAGCCTTGCGGAGCGCTTCCTGTACCTCCTGCTTGTCCTTCCAATCCACGAGGAAGCCCTGCTCCTCGCCTTCAACCTGGCTGATGTACCCGCCTGCTCTCTGCAAGACGACTGCACAACATCAACTATCAGCACACCAAGCAGGAGCAGGGGAAACAAAGGAGGAGGAACAACACGATGAGATCTTACCAGGTGTTCCGCACAGCAGAGACTCATGGGCCGAGTTCCCGAGGCTCTCGAAGTCAGAGGCAGAAGCATGGATATCTGCTGCCTTGTACATGACTCGCAGCCGATCATGCGACACGAATTCGCGGAGGCAGATCACGCCCTCGTCTGGGTTGTGCATGGCATGTATGGCGTCTGCCGCTCCCGATCCATCTCCATTACCAACGATGGCAACGATGAAGTCACGAGGCTTGTTCGCTACCAACAGCTCGATCCTCTTCTCCGCTGCCCATCGGCCCGCATAGATCATCAGCGGACGATGGGAGTTGCCGCCCGACAGGAGGTCCCTTGCCTTGCGTATCTCCTCGTCAGAGTCCCTCTGCTCGGCATGAAAGGCGCCATACTGGTCGCTCTGCACCATCACTCCGTCACAGCAGATGCCGTGCAGGTTTCTCAGCTTCGCCTGGTATTCTTCAGACCTTGTGTACACCTTGCTTGCCAACGATGCAGTGAGTCTGTCAGTCCAGCTGTAGAGGTACCACCAAACCAACCTCTCAATCCCTTGATAGTACGTTCTCACAACCTGGTCGCTGTCTGTAGTGAAGATGACGAGCGATCTTATCCCCAAGATCTTTGCCATCAACAAACCAAAGGGAATGCACGGAGTATAGCTCCCGGAGACGATCACAAGGTCGCTCTCCTTCAACAGCTTCCAGATTGACTTGAGCGCTCTCCAAGTGGGAAGCATCATAGGACAGTAATCAGTAAAGACAACATCAGCACTCTCATGCTTGCCAGCGGCAAACATCTTCAGCTCGTATCCCTCCCGCACCAGCGCTGCACATAGCTTCTCCCTCATCGCACTGCCGCCTCCTGTGTGACCGGAGAATGTTCCTATCCTGTTGGTGAGGATGAGAATAGATCCCGTCCTCCTCTGCCCTCTCTCTCCCCTCTCTGCTCCTCCCTTGCCCGCCATCGTCTCCGTGTCGCTACTGCCTCCTGCCATGTTACTATTTGAGGCGCACCCCACCCGCCGTTACCCCAAAGTTGTTTCCGTTACCCTAAAGTTGTTTCCGTTACATCAACGAAACGTAGAATGGAACGGCAAGTGTGGCCGTTATCAATCGGGGTGCACCACGTGGATTGGTGTCTTAGGAGACATGGGTGGGGTAGTATTGAAAGGGAAAAGGTGGGTACAAAATTGGAGGAAAATGGGGTGGTCCATGTTGATAATCTTGAGACAGGTGGGGTAGGGGTGAGAAGCAAGGAAAGGTATGGAATGCTAGGGGGAGCGAAGGAGGAGAGAGGTGAGGATGGGGAGGAGAGCGCGGAGAAAGCTTGAGAGACGGGAGAGATGCAGGAGAAATGACATGCAAACTATGCGTAACAAACCTAGATAGATCTAGCCCAGAAAGAAAGAAACAGACAGCTCCAAGAGGAGGCTAATATTTGCATGTTGAAGCTGAAGGATCAAAGAACGCCCGAAAAACTCACCAGCGTTCTCACGGATGATCTTCAGGAGGGAGATTAAAATTGCGTCAATGATGAAGCTCTCTAGCGTCCTCTCACTCGTGTACTTCTTCTCCTGCGCTTCGGTCTCATGGGCTCAAACGTGTAAATTCAAGTGTGAAAACGGGAATAATCCTCGTCACCGGTGAACACATTTGTGGCCTTGAATTGATGTTGAGCACTGGATGACAGGGAAGGGCACAAACCAACGTTCAACGGATGTGGCGTGCCGGGTTTCATGATCGATTCCAAACACGGGCTGACGGAATGCTGCAATCAACACGACATCTGCTATCACACATGGTGATGTTGAACCTTCCTACCTCTGCTGAATTGTGGCTGGGCAGTCAAACGGGGAAGAGTCAGAAGAAAGGGATGGAGATATGCGACAAGGACTTCGAGAAGTGCATGCTGGTACCTGTCGGGGGAGGGAAATGCGATGAGCTCACCTGTCCTCCGGTAGGATAAGTGTGCGAAGCTCAAGGGAAGTACAAGGAGCGACTGCGAGTCTGAAGCCAACATGATGTCAAGTGGAGTGCAGGCGAGCAGTCTGTCCCTACTCTCAGCTCTGACGAGGCTTGTCAGATGTTTGGTTGTCCTGCTTACCAGGTGATGCAGTGTGGTGGAGGTGAATGTCTCACCGTCACACCAGCAATCTCAAGCAGAAGCTTGCACCTGTGAATTGTCCACACAAGACAAGGTCTGCCCTCCACAAGCTTGTGCTGTGCAGCTCTCTCGAGTGTTTTGTTGTTCTCGCGGCGTTTCTCCTCATCTCTTTGCAGACCAACTGACAAACGTTGACAGGCTTTGAAACAACTGAGTGACGAAGACAAAGAGAGACTGATTGTGGAATTTTACAAGAAGCATGACAAGTCAAAGACTGCTGGTGCTTCTCACAACTTGAATATTCGGATCCTTCTTACATGGTTCATGTTCAGAGAAGATAAAGGATATTGTCAAGGGATCAAAAGACAACAAGAAGTTCCTTGCTTTGTGTCGAATGTGTCGTCACAATGTTTCTTTCTCCTCTCTTGACTGGTTTTGAAGGCTGGAGGAGAAATACGGGGAGCACCCCTCTACTTTTCTTTCAGGTACTCGAATATGGGGATGGGTTGACGGAATAACACGACATTAGAGCTGGGCACTGAGAAGGACTCGAATCCTGAGCTCTAGAGACGCAGAATGTGCAGGATGATAGTTTTCGAAGTCATCTGACTCGTCAGACAGTCAGTAGAACACTTCATCTTTCACCATTGACACAGGGAGATAACATTAATGTACAATCGAAAGGAAATAAAAGTTATGATGACAATCATGTTCGAGGATGTATCTTGATTGAACTGAGTGGAGCTGTGCGTCTCTTGTCCTTTCTTGAGTCTTCCCAGCCATCATGTCAGCCACGTCACCGAGACGTGTCAGTTGCACTCACCTCTCTTGTTCAGATTTATCTTCTCCATTTGCTTCTTCGCCCACTGCTGACACTGTTGGAGGAGGAATCAGATTGCTTGCACGCAAAGAGAGGAACCAAACCTCGTTTGTTCGACTTGGTTTGCAATACATGGAAAGGTTCCGAGAAGTACGGAACATCGAGACCCGGTTGACATGCACAAGAATCTGCCAAAATGTCACGAGCAGCTTGTGTCCACAGAATGAATGCAACATGTAAAATCTTGTGCAGATGCTCCTTGAGTTGATCATAAAGCATTAGGTCGTGGTCTGTGAAGAAATCGACCTGGAGGACAATCAGACAACGTGCAAGGTTGTTGTCAGTCGGATCCTCACGTTGGAAGTTTCGAGCGTTTGTTGAGAGTCCCACTTCTTCTTCATCTCCAGCACTTCCTCTCCCACTTCGAAGTCTTGGATCTCCTTGAGGCTCATCTCGAGGATCTGATACTTCTCGATGACAAACTCGTTGATGATTCTGACAGCAGCGTTGACCTCCTCCACTCTCACATCCTCCCGGATGATCTGCGGGATCCCTCGGAACTGATTTGCTGTCAGCTCGTCACAGAAGACGGGGATCTCGTCCTGATCTCTTGCGGCGTTGGAGATGTACAGGTCAGGGTCGCCGAGTTGCAGGAGCGTCTGATAGACGAAGCTGTAGAACAAGATAGAGAAGATCTTCTCCAGTATGTAGATGGGATAGAAAGCCTCCATCGTCCAGAAGAGATTGGTCGGTATGAACCTCGCGTATGCTCCGATGCGATAAGCTTTCGATGCTATGAGAAACACCGCATAGAGGGGAAAGGTGACAGCCAGGTTCCTGAACCTGCTGAGCATGTCGCCGAATCGACCAGATCGCATAAACTTCGTTCTTGTCAGCATGATGAAGATCAAGACGACGGTACAGAGAGGAAAGGAAACTTGCAGGCAGGTCAAGAGGATCACAATCCCGATCTGCGCGCTAAGGGGATCCATGAGACTGTTCAGTCCAATGTCCAGGAAGAGCACCACACACACAGACACGGGGGTGAAGTTATTGGTCAGAAAATCCATTGGCGCAAAGGTTTCACTTTAGTCAGATTACATCCAGGTCAATCATCACGCTAAACCGACCACCCTGCAAACAGATGTGAGAATCTTCGGTAGGTGAAATCCTTCTCCAAGTGTGAAGACCTTGACAACAACCCAATCAACATAAAGTAACTGACTTCGCCCATCACCACCATCCACTCTCCACCCTCTTTCTCTTTTCGAGACCGGCAAGGAGTGCATTAAAATCAATTTCACAACACAAGCAGTCTCTTGTCCAACCAACTATCTCTCTGCTGATTCTATTTCTTTTGCTCTCATTGCCCATGACGCATTCCATCAACGTCAACACGTCGATGATGAAACTTCTCTTCATCTTCCCCCATTTCCCTCCCATTTTCATTCATCTAGAATGCGTTTGAATCATTTCCCCCGCCTAGCCAGGCCTACCCCTACCTACCTCTATGACTGCATGGACCCACCACCCTAACCAACTGGATTATCATACACCACTACCCCTAAGATATCAGGAGAAGGACCCCTGGTCCAAGGTGATCCCCCGCCTAATAGCCCGTGAGATGGAGAGGGAGGGAGGACGGTAGTCGATGCTGGGGGTGACCGGAGGCATGGGAAGCTCGGCAGACGCAAGCGAGCTCAAGAGGGAGATCAAAGCATGGGAGCACTCGTTCGTGAGCGCTCATGGACACAAGCCGAAGCATGAAGATATCCTGAAAGAGAAGAATATCGCTGCGTTGTATCGAGCATACAGCAAACTGACTAATACGATCAAGCAGACCAATGATGTAAAAAGTACAACATTGCAAGCTATCCAAGCAAACCAAAAACAGTGTGACGTTGCCCATTCCAGTAAGAAGATCAATGCCGATACAAATGGGCAGTCGGCAAGCAAAGCTTTGGCGAGCATGGTCCGAACGCTTTTCAATGCGCCGAACGTTTCGTTAAGATTAAGCGGAGGAAGTTTGACGAACAAGAGGCCAAAGAATGATGAGAGCGAGAGAGCGAGGCCTCAACGCAATGAGGGTGGAAATCAAACAAGCCCGGTTTCTTGCGACAATGAGAGCAAAGAACCAAACACAAAGAAAATTTGTCTGCTGACTGTGGCAGAGAAGGGGGAAAGTGTAAGCGAGGTAGATGAGATTCAAGTGCCGACACCTGTGACATGTCGCAAGAGAAATTCTCAACCTTCTTCTCTTCTCCTCATGAGATCTTCATTGAGGAGTCCTCTTTCGGACAAACCTCGCTTGGAGCCAACCGACCTCAATCCGTTTCAGTCCTCCAAGATCTTTGAGGACAAGAAGGAGAGCAAGAAGGCACAAGTTGATGACGATGATAGACCCATCATCTCGACCGTTCAGTCATCGTCAAACAAATCTGCCGATGCTGACACTGAGCGCGAGGCACAGACTCTGTTGTCTATCGTCTCTGATCCGATGGAAGCCCTCGCCTCGATGGATGTCATGCCCAACTACCGCGCGACCATGAAGAATGAGTCGGCATACTTCGAGTCCAAGTTGCATCCTCTGCAGGTCAAACGATCGAAGAAAGAGGGGACGGCGCCGATACGAGAAAACTTTGTGAAGTTGCAGATGAAGGGCAAGAAGAAATTCAAGGGCAGAGGCAGCAGGTCTGGAGGCTGTGTTCCTATGGGAGGAAAGACCAAGAAGTATACTGTTTACAAAGGGAAGGTTAGGTACAAGGGCAAGAACAACTGTCTGAGATGCGGGAAGAAAGGACACTGGGCGAAAGACTGCCCGCTGGTCGTTGGGGACAAGGATGCTGTGGGGGCAGAAGATGAAGAGAAGTTGTACAACATTGTCGATAGTCTAAAGTCAAAGGAGGAGGTGAAGACAAAGAAAGAACATCGTGATCAGAAGGTTGATGCTGAGGGAGAATCTTCTGTGGCGGATGTGACCGGAGAGCACCATGATCCGGGAGAAGCCAGTCCCGCAAGGCAAAAACGTGAGGACGATGACATCCTCTCGACTTTGCAGAATGTTTTCGGTCACTCACAGTTCCTGGAAGGCCAAGAAACAGTCCTGCAGAGGGTGCTGGCAGGAGAGTCGACGCTGTTCGTCTCAGCAACAGGAGGAGGAAAGTCCCTGTGCTTCCAGCTGCCGTCCTGCCACTTGAAAGGATCGATCCTCGTTATATCTCCTCTCCTCTCTCTCATCCAAGATCAGCTCGAGCACATGCCAGGTGGAGTCGCAGCTGCCACCTTGAACAGTACGCAGAGCTACGAGGAGTATCAACGAGTGGTCGAGGGGCTGCGGGCGGGCAAGATCGACATACTTTTCATCGCTCCCGAGAGGCTGATGACCGACTCTTTCCTCTCTCTCGCCTCGTTCCTCCCGCCCTTCTCTCTTGCCTGCGTCGACGAGGCTCATTGCCTGTCAGAGTGGGCCCACAACTTCCGTCCCTCGTGCGCACCCAGAGCTCGATGGCCTGCCAGCTGACTTGACACCGCAGGTACTCGCGGCTGAACATGCTCATCCGACAACACCTCAAGATCCCCACGATACTCGCCCTGACTGCCACGGCCACGAAGGTGATGGAGCGAGACATACGAGACGCCCTCAGCATCCCCGAGGAAGGGACTGTGCGGGTCGGGATAGTCCGCCCCAACCTCTTCCTCTCGGTCTCTCGGGAGCAGAGCAAACGGTCTGCGCTGGTTCAGCTTCTGCGAGAGGACAAGTGCTTCAGCAAAGGCAGTGTAAGCTACCTCTTCAATGGCGTGCTCACCTCCCTCCCTCCCTCCCTCGCTTCCTTCCTTCCTTCCTTACCTTCCTCCCTCTCTCCCTCCCTCCCTCCCTCCCTCTTTGACATCCTCCTCTCCCTTCTCACTTAGTTTGCAGGTCATTGTCTACTGTCAGCTCCGGTCTGAGTGCGAGGAAGTCGCCAAGTTGCTCTCCTACCACAAGCTCTCCGCCGATTTCTATCATGCTGGTCGACCACACAAGGACAGACAAAGAGTGCAGAACAAATTCTTCGACGGCAAGCTTCGGGTGCTTTCCTCTTCTTGTCCCCTCATTCCTTCACATACCGTCTTCCTCTCCTCTCCTCTCCTCTCCTCTCCTCTCCTCTCCTCTCCTCTCCTTTCCTCTCTCCGTGTCCCCTTCACTGTTTTCCTCATCTTCTCATTTTTCAACCATCTGAGCAGATAGTCGTCGCAACAGTTGCCTTTGGGATGGGGATCGACAAGCGTGATGTGCAGGGAGTGATCCACTTCAGCTGCCCCGACAGCATCGAGAGTTACGTGCAGGAGATCGGAAGGGCAGGACGAGACGGACGCGAAGCTTTCTGTCATCTCTTCTACGACTTCGACGACTTTGAGAGGAAGAAAAGTTACGCGTATTCCGATGGCATCGAGCGAATGAACGTGAGGCCAACTCCTTCCTACTCTCCTTTCTGCATCCTCCTCCTCCTCCTCTTCCTCCTCCTCCTCCTCCTCCTCCTCCTTCTACCTCCCCCTCCCCCTCTCCTCCGCTTCTCTGCCTGCTCTCCTTCTGATCCTCCAACTCTCCGCAGGTAGAGGCCATGATCAAGTATGTCCTCAAGGACAAGTCGGCAGGGACGATGGTGGCAATCCCCGAGGACCACGATGTGGAGTTCGACGCGAGCAAGGAGTGCATGTCGACCGTCCTGTCCTTCCTCGAGCAGGAGGAGGTCATTGACAACCACAACGGCTCTCTGCTCGACTGCTCCCTCTCCTGCATCTCTGAGAAGGGTCAGGACCTTCTCCTCTCCAGCCGAGCTGTTTCCGCCATCATGGGCTCCGCCAGGCCCACCAACGGCCAGTGGAAGTTCTCTCCTGTCACTATTGCCAACCTCACGGGCATGTCGCCCTCCGCCGTCCTCTCCGAGCTCCGCAAGTTCTCCTCGCAGCGGCTGATCCGCCTGCAGGCCGACAGGAAGTGCTTCGTCTGCTGTGTCCGCAAGGCTACGAGCGACGAGGAGCAGGAGGAGCTTGTCGACCGCATCCTCTCCCGCCTGCGCGGCCTGGAGGAGCGACAAGTCCGTCGAGTGCTGACGCTTGAGAGGATGATGGAGGAGGCTGATAAGATTCCCTCCCGCAGCCCCGAGCAGCACGTGGCTCTGTCAGAGGCGGTCGGGAGGTACTTCGACTCAGCCGGGCAGGAGGAGGAGGCAAAGAAGGTGCAGGACATGCGAGGAGAAAAGTTCCTGCGAGGTGACATCATCAGCTTCTTGCACAGCTTTGCGGGAAGTCACAAGCTCTTCAACGGGCGAGTGATCGCCCGCATCTTCCATGGCCTCCCCAGCCCAGCCTTCACAGCTAGGATGTGGCAGAGGAACAGTAGCTGGGGGAGGTACAAGAGCATCGACTTTGAGCGCATCAAGGAGCTAGCAGAGGAGTTGATCAAGAAGCGATAATAGTGACAAGTGAATATGCTATCAGGCACCAAACAATCTCTTGCTCCCTCCCCTCCCTCTTCCCTCGTCCACTCTCTCCCCGCTCTCTCCCTCGTCTACGAGATGCTGCACGACTTGGCTCCGCTCCTCTTCTTGCATGCCTTCTCCTTGGGGTTGTTCGGGAGTTGCATGGCTCGGAGCCTCGCCACAAGCTCCGCAGCCGTCGGTCGCTGGTCCGCAATTCCGTGCCATGCGGACGCCATGAGGGCGGCGAGGGGCTTGTAGGAGATCTCCTCCAGGTCCGGACGGAGGTCGAAGTGGCGGGTGGCGGCATCGAGGAAGTCTTGCTGCACCTTCCCCATCAACGGCCTCTCGCCCGTGCACATGAACCACAAGACGAACGCGTAGCTGTAAACGTCCACCTTCTCCGTGTAGGCCTCGGACCGCATGACCTCAGGCGCCATGTAGCGGAGGGTCCCCGTCACCCCCGTCATCCTGTACGTCCCGTCCGACGAGTTGGCGTCGAAGATCTTGCTGAGACCGAAGTCTGAGACCTTAAGATGCCCCTCGGCCGTCAGCAGGAGGTTTCCTGGCTTGAGGTCCCGGTGGATCACGGACGGCTGGCAGCCATGGAGGAAGCAGAGCGCCATGGCCAACTCGAGGGCCCAGCGGTGAACGACGACGACAGAGGGCCGCCATGGCGCGCTCTTCTCCGCCCGCTTCTTCTCGTACTCGTCCTCCAGCGACCCCCCGTCAAGGTACTCGCTCAGAATGATCTTGGGCTCTCCTTCCAGGCAGGCACCGAGGAAGAGCACGAGGTTAGGGTGCCTGAGCTGCGAGAGGACTTGAATTTCGTTCTGCGGGGGAAGGGTCAGGAATGGAAATGCGGACGACTGGGGTAAAGGAGGCGATCGCCAGGCAGAAGCGAGGAAGACGAGGAGGAAGGGGAGGAACAACACAGCAGCAGGAGGGGGGGTGAGGAGGAGAAGAGAAAGATCAAGGCGCAAAGGATCTGCATGCCTGGAAGTCAAGGTCATCTGTCATCGATTCCCGATTCTTCAGCACTTTGCAAACGACTGGCATTCCTCTCCAGTCGGCTCGCAGCACGTAGCCCTGCTGCCCCTCTCCCAGCAGCTTCCCCATCTTCACCTCCTCCCTATTCACATTCCACTTCTCAGCTCGTGCTCGGATGCTCAGCGGCTTCGCGCGGTAGCTCTCAGCCTCCACCTGCCCTCGTCATCAGCACATGCCCCTCCTCCACCCACCGCCCTCTCCCTTGCCCTCATTTCACCACTCCCACTCCCCTCAGTACAAACACCTCCTCCACCTCCTCCTCACCTGAGCCTTCACAGCTTCGATCTTGTTCTCCATGCACGCCCCGGCATCAAACAAGAGCTGCTGTACCCGGGTGTGCCCTCCCCTCACAGCGTCCTTGAGCGGACTCGCTCCCCACCGGTCCACACACATCACGTTGGCTCCGCACTGGATCAAGAACTCGACGACCTTGTCGTGCCCCTCAGCAGCTGCCAGATGCAGCGCAGAGCGACGGTCGTAGTCGCACGCGTTCACACTCGCTCCCTTCGCCACGAGATTCTTGATCTGTGCCAAGTCGCCCTTGGCGGCAGCGTTGCACATCCTGTCACCATGGTCCTTGTGGTCAGAATGATCGTCCTGCTCTCCTCGTCCTCCGGCGTTCCTCAGGATCGTCTGAACCTGCGAGTGACCTCCTCGGATAGCGTCTTTCAGAGGGTCGCCTCCCCATCTATCTGTACAATTTACATTCGCCCCATAGATTACAAGGAAGGCAACAACTTCATGATGCCCCTCAGCGGCTGCCAGATGCAGCGCAGAGCGACGGTCGTAGTCGCACGCGTTCACACTCGCGTTCTTGGTCACCAGGCTCTTGATCTCCTCCAGATCGCCTCTGCTCGCTGCCTTGCACATCCTCTCCCCCATTGTCATCCCATGGTCCGAGTGCTCGTCGCTCAGGCCCAGGGCTCCTGCTTCCTTGAGCAGATCCGTCACTTTCTTGTGGTTCCCGCGCATAGCGTCCTTTAGAGCGTCTCCTCCCCACCTGTCCTTGGCGTTGATGTCTGCCTGCTTGCTCACAAGGTACTCCACCACGTCCAGATGTCCTTCAGCAGCAGCAAGATGCAGAGCCGTCCTCTGATCGTACAGGCACGCGTTCACGCTAACTCTGCACTCTATCATCCCTCTTACAGCCTCCAGGTCACCCTTTGCCGCAAACCCGCACAGCTGCTGCCCGAGCGCCTGCTGGTCTGCCTCGTCGATCTTCGCGCCGTGCTGCAGCAGCAGGTCTCGCACAGCCGTGTGACCTCCGACGGCCGCGTCCTTGAGAGGATACCCGCCCCACCGATCCTTGACGTTGACGTTCCCTTTCTGTGAGATGAGATACCTCACCACCTCCACGTGACCCTCAGCTGCGGCCAGGTGCATGGCGTATCGCTTGTCGTAGTCGCACGTGTCCACGCTTGCGTTCGACTCCACCAGCTGCTTGATATGCTCCAGATCTCCTTCCGACGCCGCTTCGCACAGGATCTTTCCCAGAGCTCTCTCCCGCTTTGACGCTGAGGTGTCGGTGGAGTTGGCAGACGAGTTGTCGAGAGATTCCATTGCGAGCAGAGCAGACATGTTATGTGATGTTCTTGAAAGTTTGACGGCTGCCAATTGGAGGAGAGAAGGCGGAGAAACAACGATTACTGTGCACACATTGCTTTACCCCGACCTGCAACATGGTCAGTCCATAACTGCCACAGGACATGACAGGACAGGACAGGAAGCGTGAAAAAAATAAATAGCCAACACAACTACTGTAAGAAAATTTCTTCAAATGACAACCGACTATACCCTAACTGTGATGTTCACGTCCCATGGACTTGCTCGAACGGTCGTTGGTCGTTGTCTCACTCGCTGGCAGTCATCATCAACACACCCTAAAATTACCTTCGCCTCCATAAAGTCTTCATCTTCGTCATCTTCATAATCATCATAGTAATCATCAACTCTATACATTGAAAATCACGTATCATCGCACATTTCTGCACCCCTCAAAGAGTTCAAAAAATCGAAGGGGCACTGGTGTTTCTTGCATCATGAAGAAATCTTCTAGACCAGCGCATCCTTAGACACAACATCAACTACATCATTCAGCCTTCTCTGCTTCATCCCCAGCTCTCTCCTCCCCCCTGCCCAGCCTCCCATGTCAAGCACCGCTTGGTCTGCATAGTAGTAACTGCTAGTACAAAAAGTCTCGTGCACTATTACACTTTTGGGTTTTTAAAAAATACGAAAATACTCTTTGTCGATTTATATAACTAATTTTTAATGGATCTTTTCGATTACGTACCCGTTCAACGGAGTTTAGAAAAAAATTACTGATTTATTTTGGTAGAAAGATACAACTCAATTGTATATAAAAGTTTTTTGAAGACAAGAATTATCTTTTAGGTAGTTTTATCTTTTGTTGTTCAATCGACTCCCCAAAATGAGGAGAGGGCCACCCCTACCCCACCACAACCTTCTCAATGACCCCACCCTGACAATAGTTTCTCGGTCATTGTTGACTCTTGCAAGGGCCCACCCCCAGTTCCTCATGACCCCACCCCACCCCACCATTGGGACCATCCTCGATCTATCGCCTTGGTGGGTGGTATTTCGGGGTTGGAATAACTTATAGTTTTGATTTTTGTTGCCTCAGTTTTGTGACCCCCCTCTTCCAGGTTCAAGGTACCCCTGGTCAACAAGGAGACCTTTCACCTGCCCTCATCTCCACTATGATCCCCACCAACCTTCCGACGTGACGAGGAGGCGGTGTAGTCAAAAATTGTCAAACAAAGATGTAATTTGAATTATTGAATATGGATATTTGAAATTTTCAGATCAATGTTCGCCACTTGCCAAATCTGTTTAAGCTGTTTCGATTTTCAGCGGCGGCCGGCCCGGGCCGCTCACACCGCCGCACGGTCCCGCTCAGCCCGGCCGCGGCCCCGCGTTCCGACCGGGGAGTCGCCGCCCGGGGGCCCGATACGACGTGAGCTTGAGTCTCTTCAGCCTTAAATGAAAGCCGGCAACTGGCAAGTCAGGCGAGTCGGTGGCACTCGTCGGAGTGACACAGGCCGGCCGCTCAGTCACCGCCGGCGCCGGGTGTGACAGTGGCCCGGCGGCGGGCCGGGGACTCGGTCCCGGCGGACTCCGGGAGTCTGCCAGGGGCCCGGCGGCCCCGCGCCCGGGCGGGCCACTGCACCCCGGTCACCGGGTGCGGCCTCAGGCTGGGACACTCCGAGGCTCACTCAGGCCCGATGCCTGGCCAACGGTCACCGGGTGCCAGCCTGGCCGCTGACGGTCGCTCCGGGACGGGAGTCGGGCGGGGCAAGAGGCTCGCGGCCCGGGCCTCCGGACCGACTCTCCGACGCCGTGACTCCGGACCGGGACCGAATCTTCACTCAAAGTTAAGTTAGAAATCAGTACCGGGCGAGGACCCAGCTTTACTCAACTTGAAGTGAAGTTAAAAGGCGAGGACAATCAGGAACCCTCACTGAGTCAGTTTTCGTTACCTCCCTCTGAGGCGGGGCCTACTCTTGCCGTCAACTTTCTGCAAGCCAGTGGATTTTGACCACGGCGTGGCCTGAGATGCTCTGGCAGGGCCCGGGGTGGTACCGTACCCCATCAGTGAGTTGACTACCCCTGACAAGTCTCTTTTAAAAGGGGGTCTTAAGACTACCCTACCTAGCAGAGGACTTGTAATATTCAATAGCCTGTGCGGAATACTACCGCCCTAAGAAACTGCACCACCCTCTTTGAGCGACATACCCCTTCATAATTAAAAGTACCGGTCATTTTCACTTGTCTCCACCCACTTTCAAAGGCAGCCATATGTGAAAAATCGAATCATGACCCCTTACATGATGACCCCTACCTCCTCCGGGCACAGCGAATTCCAATCCATCCCACCAGGGGATCAGGTTTCCGGGCACGACAATGAGCGGCGGTGAGATAATCATGCGCACTGCGCGAGTCGATGGAGGCCGCTGGAGGAGGAACGTGGAGGAACGTGAAGCTCAAACGAGAGGACGTTGAGACAGATAGCACTACAGAGGAAGAAGAAATGAGCAGAGTTCTTGCTATGCGACAATGAAGCAAGTTGAAACATGCCGCCCTCTTGGAAAATGTGATGCTGAAACCATGCAGGCTAGAATCGATAGAAGGCAATTTAGCAAAAAGCATCTATTTAACCATCATGATGATTGTTCCTTTGTTTGACACAATTTCTTTCAGTCCTTGGAACTTCGATCATGCGGCGAGTTGAAGCTTGAAAGGACAGCTGCTCCGACATCTGGTATTCTGTCAGTCGTTGAGTGGCAGAATGAAGGACACCAACAAGATTCCGTCAATACTGTTGAATCGATTCAAGACATGCTGGTCCAAAGTGAATGATGTTGTAAAATCTTTCCAATCAGACGGAAAGAAGCACTGGTCTAAACAAGTTTTCTTGAATTTCTGTACGAAGATCGGTTGTAACCTCCTCGAAAAGGAGATAAATGAAATTTTTGACAATTACGCTGTAAACGAGCAACTCAACTATGCAAGATTGATCGAAGATGCTAAAGATATCATCTATCCTCAGGAAGCTGTATCATTTGTATTTTGCGAAGATTGAATGTTTGACGGAATCGCAGGTAGGCGTTGGGGCTCTCCTTCAATCTGGGGGGGACAATCACAAGGCTCGGTCAGGACGAGCCATCAACATCCCTCTGTTGCAGGCAGGATGGAACAACAGGCATCATCAAGCCATGGATAGCTCTAATGAGGGGCAGACGTGCATACAAAATGTGTTGGAGGGCAAATTCTACCATGAAAAACACCCCAGTGTTACGACCAAAGACTTCTGTAGAGGATCTCGGGGTGCTGAGATTGACAAGAAGCTGAATCAGCCGCTGGTCAAATCGCTGATTGAAGGTGAGTACTACTTCACCAAGTACGACCATGTCGCCAAGAACCGGAAGCACACCAACTTCATCTCTCAGAACCGAAGGCTCGCTGCCGACTACTCTCAGTTCATGATCGATGCCCGAAGAAGCATGCACGAGCTGTCTATGGACCCCTCCAGAACTGCAACTCCTCAGATCTCAGTTCCCTTGGCAAAGTACTCGAGATTGCGCAAGTCAACTTCAAGGCAGTCATACGACTATGGCTCCCAGTCGTTGCTGTCCTTGAGCATGTACCCCAATTCTGGCTCGGAGGTGGGGTCGCAAAGAACGAGCAGGAGAGGAGGGAGCATACGCCTTGGAAAGAGCGACCACACCGTGACACATACTATCGGCAATACCAGATCGATCTCGAGGAGACCTCAATCTGCTACACATTTGCGAACTGAAATAGCAGACTTTTCATTCGACGAAGGGCATTCCAAACCTGTATCGAGGTCCCCCGGACATGTTCAGGTGACGTTGAATTTCCCTAGGGGTCACGACTGAAGTTATGTTGCACCAGCCATCAATGTTGCCCCCTCCACCACGATATGGTGTGGACAAGAAGATCTTGGCAGATGCTACTGCTGTGGCCAGAAGTAGAATTAACGGGGTTAGACTTGACCCTGAGACAAGGCGAGCGAAATGATTTAGACATTCGTTGTTTCAAGGAAAATCTCGTTGGAAGAAATTGACCAACGTCACCATATGATCACTACCACCTGTAGATGTTCGCAATAAACTTCTCTTCGTGGATCTCAAGGGTACATGCAGACTTGGGAAGAGAAAATCTCCTGGGCCCCGCACTACCAGGGTTAATGAACAATCGTCCCTGTTCAATGAACCGTATGAGACAACAAAGTCATATCGCAATCTTTACCTCATGGTACCATATCCTCGACTGATGTGAGTGACCGAAAACAATGACATCGAGTCTGTGCGCATTCACAACCTCTTGGGCGTTGGCTGGGTCGCCGGTGATATCTTGCAGTCTTTCTGCAACGAATTCGTCTGTGGACTTGCAATCATGAAGATTCTCCTGTCGATTCCGGCTCTCCTTGTCAAATGTGTAACTGGAACAAGGCTCAGCACCTTGCGTCTCTTTCCCTGCTTCTTTGGGGAATCCACAGATATGTAGAAGCAGCGCAGAAGATGCCCCAGGCAACCCTTGCCTGACCGAGTAGAGGGGAAAGTCGAGAGTGAAATCTAGCGGGGTGTTGGTAGAAAATCCTTTCTGACCTGAGAAAACAAAACGTATGTGAGGGATGAATCGCGTGTGGATTGTTACAATCAAAATGCATCGGAAGTGCTCACACCTCGTATTCCTCCAGCGAAAGTGTCTACATTTCCACGAACCATGCAAGTTACAGGAGCAATGTTATTCAGCTCCTTGAGGACATCCCATGCTGATTGATAACTGCCATTCTTGCCAGCATGGTCACCGCCATGCCAAATCTCATGTACACCATCGAAGATATCTCTAAGTCTTGCATCGAAGCAGCCATGTGTATCGCTGACGATTCCGACTTTGATGTAAGCTTGTGACGAACAGCACCGGCTTCGCATGCTGTGAAGCTCCATGAAACCCTCAGATCTCTCTTGGTCTCTCTCATGAACCACTGCTCTTCGTCTCTTGCCCTTGTCTCTTTCCGTTCGACTGCCTTCCATGGATCCTCGCTTCCCGTCCACCATCACACCACCGCAGGTAGGACTACCCGGCACTTGGCCCAACAAGTACCCCACCCTGGCTGTAGCCAACAAAATGATTCCAGGGACGAAAAGAACACTTGACCCACGAGTCGGCAAGAGCAGCAGGAAAGAGACAAGAAAGCGCAGGTAGAGCAGCAGAAAAGAGACAAGAAAGCGCAGGTAGAGCAGCAGGAAAGAGACAAGAAAGCGCAGGTAGAGAAGCAGGCAAGAGACGAGAAAGCGCAGGTAGAGCAGCAGGAAAGAGACAAGAAAGCGCAGGTAGAGCAGCAGGAAAGAGACAAGAAAGCGCAGGTAGAGCAGCGACACACGGACGAGCTCAAGAGCTGAACCTTGACAGGTGATACTCGTGATACATGCACCAGACATCCGAGTTTCAGCGTTACACTGCGTATCAGGTGGAAAGCTGGTTTGAACGCTGGGTAAAGATCAAATCTTGCAATCTATTCCTTTCTGTTTCGATGAACATGCTTGTTTTGTTCCACTTTGCTGCATATGCCATCTGATCTCTACACGAGAATTAGTTTGGTGGCCGTAAAGCTTTCAGTGGGAGGAGTCATTGCCGGCTCAGTTGGGTTTCATGTGGCCCATCGGAAATTTCATTTGTACTACTTTCACTCTGCAGAGCAATGCCGTATTCTTGAATGCAACAGCCAGACGTCAGTCAGGACTAGAGACAGCTGGTATATGGAATGCTGGAGGACGAACTCTATAAAACTCAGTCTGCCGAATGGCTTTCAAAGCTCACTTTTTCAAATTATGACCAAAGCATAGAAAAAAAACAGAGGCCTATGAAAAATTGGTTTATTCCGTTGAACCAAAAGCAAACAAGCAACTTATGTACAGGATACTGTGTAGATTACAACACCAGAGTACATGCCGAATGAGTTTGACTCACAACTCTGGTCGAACGTATTCGAACTCCAGCATCTCTTCTTCCTCTTCCTTCTTGACTGGGAAAATTTTGTAAACTGCTATTCCCGATATGAACGAGAGGCCTATGGCTGAAAAGATCATGACGGCGCCGGGGGCGAGTAGAACTGGAATCATCTTTGTAGAAACCACGTAGTGTAGATTTTTGAGTTTCACTCCTTGATCTCTTTGGCACTTTGCGTTGGGCGATGTGTATCCTCTGAGCAGATCAGCACAAACGTGACTATTGATGTCTACTACTCTCTTGCTCACTTTGACTTCGATCTCGTTTCCTTCTCACTATTACACTCTTCCAGTTGGTTTCCTGTTTCCCTGTTGTTTGTTTTTATCCACTATCCACCCTACCCCTTTCATCCACAATCAAACTACACACACTGCACATGCTGATGACATACTGTTGTCTACTACATCCAAGGTACACTGTTTTATATGTATTTCACTATGTAAAAGTTGTATAACTGCTACCATACCTCTCCAAAGCCTTCCATGTATCCCACCCCTACCCTATCTGGCTATAACCCCACCCCCTGTGCACACCCGGCCTCCCTTCTTCGGTCAGCAGTACAAGCCTCCCATTTCTATGAGGATACCCCTACTTTATATTAGAAAATAGGGGGTACGGTATACTGGATACGCCTCCCCACAGGATCAAACACAACGAAAAATACTTGTACGTTTATAAGCATATATTTTGAGCGACTGGTACAAACTAGTTGAGCTGGATCAGCACCACTACGTATCATTGAATTTGTACTATACTTGTAGTACCTGTAGTACTGTATATAATTTTAAAAAATCCGTATTAATTAAAAAAGATGAGCGGCGCCAGCCGGGGCCGGTCGAGCCTGACGTCACCCGGTACACCAGCTAGCCGCTTATTTCGTAAGGCGCAATCTGAGGCGCAATGGTGGCGACGGGGCTGTGGGTCGTCATGGCTGTGAGTCTAGCGATGAGGGAAGGAGAAGCCTTCTTGCTGTCGACTTCGCCTTCTACTCATCGACGTGTAGATGTTCTCACTTCAAGTCGCATGTATCCTTCAATTGATTTTCAAGTTTCTCCTCTTACGCTAGGAGATCGCAAGCGCTTTACTACTCTGACCCGTCTTTCTATGCAAGAGGATAAAGATGCTGCCACGGGGTTTTCAGAGGAGAGCTTTACTGTATCAATTCAGGACGAAGTGGACGACGATAATGTTGTATTGAAACTGCCAAACCCCGATCCCAAAAAGGATGTACAATCGCTTCAACTTCGCTTGTTCAAGGCATGCTGTGGTCTGGACCGTGGGGCGGCAGCGGGTGACAGTGAGCGAAGGACTGTGTTCGATGTAGTCAACAGTCTTGAAGACCTCATCACAGATGGACGAGAGTTCGAAGTAATCCACCTCCTGTCTCATTTGTGTTTCATTCACATTAATGCCCGGTATGATTGCAGGAGGACGGACTCTGGAGGCTGATTTTTTCTTCGGCCTTGTCAGCTGGGAGTGGTAGTGGAGGAGGAGCAGGAAGGAATTCTCTCCCAATCTTCCAGACTCCTGATACTGCCAGACTCTCCCTGGGTCCGGGATCCACAGTCGGACAGGTACCAGGGCAGCTGCCTGTTGTCCTAGTGTTCTAGTTTCGTGACAGGCGTGCTTCGAAAGGTGTACCAGAGGGTGCAGAGGAGGAAGAAGAGCCTTGACAACATCGTTGAGTTTGTGTTCCGTGCGCCACTCGTTTCTGCTGTAAGATTGTCTTGCGAAAAAGACATGCTTCACTTGTGAGGCTCTTGGCAGCTGCAGATCAAGACTGTCTTGAATCTCAACCACAGACTTGAATCCGAGGGCAACAACAAGCACAAGATCATTCTACGGAATGTCACGGCAAGAGCAGCTCGTCTGCAGGAGGAGCAGGGAGGGACTGACGGGCTCCACCACGTCAGGTGCGCAATCCAGGAGGACCGATCCGAACGCTTGGGTTGAAACCTCTCTCACTGCCCGTGATTGAGAGCATCAGCGAGCAGGTGCGAGAGAGGCGCTCTTGTTTGCTTCATTCTCATCCTCATCCTTATCCCTATCCCCCTTCTCGGCCTTTCTCTCTTCCACCCTCCTCCTCTTTCCTCTTACCTCATCATCATCATCATCATCCCTCCTCCTCCTTATCCCTCCTCCTGCTGCACCTTCCTGAGCTTGACATGCAGGGAGCTGGCGTGTTTGAGACGACGTACTGTGACGACATGCTACGAATCACTCGCGGCGATAGAGGGGAGCTGAGGATATTTTGTAAAGAATAGAGTGTATGACGAGGGATCGAGATCTTTCCATTGGTTTCACCTGATTTGACTGCTGGATCCGTGAAGGATGGCGGGTGCAGGTGGTACAACACGGAGGAGTGATATGGCTGGTTATGCAGTCAAGTGCCGTTGCCAAGCGCGAACTTTCAGCTTCGTTGGGAGTTAGATATATGTTTTGAAGAGTCGTATTCATCGACAAAGATCTTAGCTTTCAGATCATCTTCATCGAATGGATCTCCCTCCCTATCTTGTATATCATTCTTGACCTGACCTCTTTCTCCTGGCATCTTGGATCGACTTTTGTACACAGCACACTGAGATCACTCCATATATGGCAAGGCTGAAATGCCCCCGTCTCATCCTCAATCGAAAGATGTGCGTCTGTTTGCATGAACACCAACATAGTCAGCTCAACCATGCTTTTTGACCTTTCTTCTCCTGAATCACTTGAATTGCTCCTCCTCCTCTCGTTCCATCCCTCCCTCCCTCCTTCGCCCCCCCTTCCCTCTCCATTCTCTCCCTCCCTTCCTCCTCTCCCTTTCCTGCCCCTCAATCACGGACGCATAGCGCGTCTAAAAGTTGAAGGGTTCCTACCCAGGTTCCTACCGTCCTGTCAGGGATGAGGGGTCCGATCGGAAGGAGCGCAAGCAGGGGTGGTATTATGGTCGGCTCCACGGGTGGTACATACGGGAGGCTCAAGGCCGAAGCAGGAGTCAGGATCAGTGAAATGAGATGAAGATGAGAGGAGGGGAGAGGAGGAGAGAGGAGGGGAGAGGAGGGGAGAGGAGGGGAGAGGAGGAGAGAGGAGGAGAGAGGAGGGGAGAGGATTGCGGGGAAGGGAAGTCATGAGGTGGAATAGAAGGTAGGATAAGACACAGATTCGAGCGATTTAAATACCAAATGATCCACAAGCTCCGCGCTGGAGCATGCATGAACGTTAGAGATATTGATTGTGCTGGCTCTTCCGAGCTGTTTCCTGCTCTTGATCCTGCTGATCAGATCTGTCTAGATGAGCGATGACGAGGCTGTCAAGACGTCTCGGGGTAGGAACGTGAAAGCTATCCGCGATGAGCTCGAGAAAAGAAGCAGAGAGAGCGGAGGAAACCTTCCCAGTCCCCTCTGGCCGTACTCATCAAACTCGGGCTCGTTCATACGGAGAAGTATATCAGAACAAGAAGAGAAATCAAAGGGAGGGGATGAGCACTCAGAGCCATCTCAAAGAAACCTCTTCCACAAGGATGCAGATGACCTACAGCAACCTTCCCTCGAAGCTCCGCACGTGGACAACTCTGAGGACAAAAATTACATGGAGCTGGAGCAACGAAATGAGCAATTAAGTACAGAAAGACGAGAGCTTCAGGGCAGATTGACTCAAGCTCAAGTTGACATGGACAAGCTGAAAAATCAACAGGCCGTGAACGATCACAATTCAAATACCGGAGGCAACAATTCTTCTTTGATTCAGGAGCTAGAAAGAAAAGACAAGGAGATTTCGGACTTGAAAGAGATGGTGAGACAGATGTTGAATGAGAGGAAGAAGGAAAGAGAAAACAATCAAAACAAGCACGATCAAGGTCGAGATAGTAGTCAGAGCAATCATACCGTCCATCAACTAGAATCAGACAAAAAAGGTACACAGCCATGATTGTTTGGCTCTTTACCGACTGATAATGATTACAAGACAAGCAACAGCTGTTGAAACAACTCCAAGAAGCGCAAGAGGAGCTTGCGATGCTCAAGGTGAGCACAAGTAAAGCCACATATCACTTCCATCCACAACATTGACAATCGCCCTCCATTGCTTTCACTCCGGAAATATTTTGCGATTTGGATTTTAAATGTTGTTTGACTTACACACAATCACCAGAGCCAGGCTCCAAATCAAGTTTCACCGCCCAAGCAAAGTGCAATGGTAAGAGATGTAACTTGCACGTGCTCTCTTCATCGCCATCTTTCTGCAGGACTTCAGCTCAAAATCGTACAAGGCGGCATCAGGTCACTTTGTGAAAGAGATCCATCGGTTGGAAGGCCTTCTACATCAACAGAGCAAGACCATCGTCGAGCTGAGGTGCTGCCATCTTGTCTTCATTGCTTGTGCCCGACACGTGCAAACCAGCGGGAGAGGAAGGGACCGCAGCATGCTCGATATCCTGAGCAAGAAGATCATGCAGCTCGAGCCCTCCGCTGCTGCCGTCAAGGACCTCCAGACCTTCTTGCTGACCCTTCAAGGTCATGGCCGTTGTCTTGAAGATTTCTCAGCTCTTACGCCTCTTTCAGACCCTCCACCATCGCCTCCCTCGGCAACGACAAACGGCTTCCCCAGCAACAGACCAGCAAACCAGGAGGTCGCCAGCCCAGCAAGTTCTCGTCCCTACAGCGAGCACGTGACGTACCGCAGCTTCACCGAGGGGCTTGACAGACCCTACCGCATCACCTCCAGCTTCTCTCCCAGCTCTCGCCCCTCCCCTCTTCCCCCATCAACCACAAGGAGCCACAGCGAAGTCTACAGGGTGATGGATTATGGGAGAACAGCTACGGAGAGTTCACAGCGGATGGACGTGAAAGCGAGAGAAGCGTTTGAGCCTGGCAAACAAGCGCGTGCCGTACACTTTGATGAAGAGGTGTACTTGCTAAGCGTGTGAATGAAGCATGGGCTCGTGTTTCAGTTTTGAAACTTATTGATCCACCAAGTCCACTGCAACAGGCATCAGCTCAAAGGGAGTAGCCAGCAAAGGAGACATCAATCGCTCTTGCGGGAATGAAATCTCAACCATCCTGGCAAGATTCGTAGTCGTGTCTCCTAACAAGGCATCAACAAGGCTCCTGACTCGTAGTGTTCTTTCCGAGAGACGCTAACAGCGACTGTCGCAACTCCGAGTCTGACTTGCTTGTATGCATGCGCAGCCTCACTTCAACAAGGTGCGTCTGCTTGTCCAGCTGCAAGTCAGCAGCCTCGTCTTTCCTTCGTTCTTCAAGAACCTCCACCACTTTGTTGGGGTTGGCGTACACAACTTTGACACTGGGGAGACTTCGAGTACTTGACCGCGACGACGGGGAGTTCGCCCAGAACGTCGAGAGCGAGCTGTTCAACGAGTCCATCCGCCTCGTCAAAGACGTCAACCGTTTAACAACTCGCACGGCATGATCCTCCTCCGCCTGCTCCTTCCTCTCGGAGATTCTGGCCTTGATCAGGTCAGGATCTGCTGTGGTCTTGGCGCGCTCCTCCCATTCTGCCATCGACTTCTTGGAGTCATCCTCGGGATTTCCATTCGCATTGTGTGACGTTTCCCTGCTCTCTTTGGCCTCCTCCGCAGCCTTACCAGAAGATGCTTTTGGCGAAACATTTCCTGCAAAGTCGAAGTACCATTCTATCCAGTGCCCGATGAAACCGAACTGATGATCCACATGATCCCAAAACGCTAACGCTGCCCACATGTCAAACAGACGTCGATCTCGTTTGAACTCCGTTACAGCTAGTGGCCATAACGTGAGGTCCCGCACATCTTGAGAGGTTGGGTCGATGGGAGATTGCACTATGCCGCTCCAGTGCTGAATCTTCCGATCCAATCTCCCCTTGAGGACTGTCACGTCATAGACGTCGCTCAGCTCCTTCAGGAGAAGATTGTACACCTGCAGCTCGTACAACAGCAGATGCGCGTAGCTCGGCGATGTCTCATCCCGATTGTAGGGATATGTGAACATGCCGTAGGTCAGCCACTCCATCACAACGATGGACAGAGCAAAGACATCTTGCGTGACCCATGTTTGATGGTCCGGCTGCTCTTTCAAGACATTCTCGAGCGCATCTGTCACTTTTTGAGTGTCCGTTAAGTCGCGAGCTTGCAGCTTGAGCTTGTTGAGCTGTTCGTGGGATGCATAACCTACCGTGCAGACACCGCTGTGGATGTCGATGATGTTTGTGAGGCCTCCAATGAGAATAATGTTGTCCACTTTGCAATCTCGCCAGTGAATGGCATTGTCATGCATGTACTTGAGAGCGACTGCCAGCCTGCTGATACCCACAACCATGGAATCTACGTCTCTCGAGGCTCCCCCGACGCCTTCGCTTGCAGCAACCAGCTGCTCTTCAATGTCGTCCATCAACGGCTTCCCATACGGCATGATTGTGATGATCGCCATGTACGACTCTATCTTGCGGATGTAGTAGGCCTGGATCGGACAGATCCCCAGGGGCTGTTTCTCCTCCACCAACGAGATCACCCCGTTGGTGCGCGGGTTGGTATCAGGCAAGTTGACCAGCTTGAGGTACGCGGACAGACCCTGCAGCTCCTTCTGAAACAGGAACTCTTGTCCCCGTCCAGAGGGCGCGACGGTGACTCGTACCACCAAACCACTAGCACCCGGCGCAACGTCTTCGCTCCTGAAGACGTAGGCGAAAGAACCTTTTGCGAGGGGCGGAGTGGAAGTTTCCTTGATGTCACCAGCTCCATCGAAGTTGTTGAGCATGAAAGTTTGAAGAGCTTCCGCCGTAATAGCCTCGACCATGATTGGAGAGGTAGCAGACAGCGTGGGATCGGAAGAATCACAGGATATGTCGGACAAGTTGCCTCTCCTTTCGCGTCAGAGTCAAGAAGACTTCATATCACTGACATCCCCCCCTTTCAAGTTCAAGAATTCAGGCCGAACCTGGAAAAGATTGCCAGACAGTTAGAACAGACAAGACTTCAAACTACTCCACAAACTGTCACCCTTGATGGAGTCATCCCACATTCATTAGTGAAAACAAAACCAACCTGCTGGGTGTTGGCACTTACACGGACGTATTAGACTCACATCTAGCTAGTCTACATGCGATCAAAAGGCATGATGACTCGGAATCCTGATGAATAAATGCACTGTCCTCATGTATTCTACCCTTTCACCTTCCAAGAAACAAGAGCATGTGACGTTTCCTTATTCTAACTGGATGGTGAATCTTCTTGTCATTTCGCTATCAACGTGATGGTAAGTGTCTCAAACTTCACTCACAGAGTACCATTTTCCTCAAACCCATAGATCCTATCGCTATCTCTTCGACCCCTCTCCCGCCCACTCGGATTCCTCACAGATAAAATGACAGGATCGAGAACTACTACGTCCTGCGGCATTCGCTTCTGTGCCACAACAAGGGCTCAACTATCTTCATCGTTCTTCTCTTCATTCATGCGTTTATCTTCCTTCAATCTCTCATTGTTTACCGACGTCTCCCCATGAAACTTCAGCCCTCCTCGCAAACATCCCCCGCCATTTCAGGAACACGGACCCCTCACATCGAATGACCAACCCCTATCCATCCCCACACACTACCCTACCCTACCCTACCCTACCCTACCCTACCCTACCGTAAACATTCCTTTTACCACCCTACCAGTGAATATATTCTTCTGTCACCAAATGTATCCCGTCCCATACTACTACCCCTATGTCGACCATCCTACCCCTACCCCTAGCAGTCCAAGTCAAAATCCAAACACCCACCCAAACACACTCATTGGTACCCACTCCCCCTAATTGGTTCACTACCCCCTCCCTCATGAGTCAACCCAAATATCGGCGCCCACCCGGAAATTCTCTCTTATTACCACCCCTCCTTTCAAAGAATTTCTACCACCCCACCTCATCTTCTTCACATAAACCCCCACATTTTAAAATCATTTAAACCACCCCCACACAGCTGTCCGAGATAACTAATAATCTCTATCGGCCCGGCCCGGCCGCCCGGCTGCCACTGGCACCGCGGCAGCCGGTCGGGCCATCACAGGCCGGTCACCACTTTTTTCATTTTACTCAAAGTTAAGTTAAAAATCAGTTACTGTCGCCCAAAGTCGCACAGGCCATACGGCAAGAAGAGAAAAGACAGTGAGAACCAACCGTTGAACCCTCCCCACCCCTCATCCTGCCGATCATGGCAGCGGCTCAGTCTCCCAAACTACTAGTAACTGATACCAGCCGGGATACCACTTAGTTAGATGATCGCCCGGACCTACATGCCGGGGCCCCTCCGATCAGGCTGGTTCACTGAGCCTCGGAGAGGTGCCGGGCTTCCGAGACTCCCGCGCCCCTCGGGCCTGGCAGGAATGCATGCCATCAAGTTGAGTCGCAAGTCTTCCTACCGTCCGAGTCTAGCCTAGTAGGCCGCGGCTGCCGCATTGCATGCAGACAGTCGTCGACTTGAACAACGGTCAGACTCTGAAGCGGGATGACTGCATGATCATCGTACTACACTGGCCAGCGGCGCCATCATGATGCACAGGCTGAGAGTCGACTGAGCCTCTGAATGGCACCATGCCACGGATGGTGAAGTGATGACAGTGGCGCCGAGGTTTCAGCTCCGAGACTAGCAAGACTCCGATGCCCGGGCCGAAGTGATCGGACAAGTCACAGCGACTTCAGCAGCAGGTCGTGAACGATCGCCGGTCATCGCGTTCGCCGTGGAAAGTTTGACGATGCAGAAGACACACGGGCAACGGGTTGAACTGTCGCACCGCATGACGGGCAACGAAGCCGCCACCGACTTGTCTCGACCTCTCGACCCAGCAAAACATGAGCGGCAATTCTCGCCACCCAAGAATGTAGAACATCCGATCTATGTCACAGTCAGACCTTGTGGCGTCCAGGATGAGAACAAGGCAGAATCGATGCAGGTGTAGCCAACCAAGTTGTGCGTGCAGCTGACATGTTTGCAGAAACACCATGTCGACGAAATGATACGGAGACACAAGATGCTACTGCAGCATCTGGAGTACAGCAAGATGGTCTCGGCAGATGAGACCGAAGAGCATACTGCAATCATTGCCTCGCTGCACATGAAGTTGGCGGAGTTGCAGGTTTCTGCACAACATGTTACCTGTGTTGATGGCAGTTGTTGATGGTGTACTCTAGGAGACTGCTGAAGCTCTCAGTATTTCTCGGTCGGATGTTCAGTTCACTGCGAGCTCTCCCATCTCTTGGTCGTCGGTGGCTACATCTGAGAGGGAGAGCAAGAAGAAAATCAGTTTCTCCGACGAAATTTCGGATGCTCGATCTCCTGATTCCGATAGAACACTCAAGACAACATGGGAGTCGTCACCTGATCAGATTTCCCCACCAGCTCTTTTCACCCATGATCCTTTTGAGCACGGTCTGAAGCAGAGGACTGCAACGCAGACATTTCACAGCAGTAGGGACCGAGACACCAACGAATCGCAGAGCAGATCAAGCATAATCTACAGGTTCCTTTATTCCTTGTTTTCTTTCTGTCTGATACTAAAATGGCATCAGCCATGTTTGTCTCGATGACATCTTAGAGTCACAAGACCCGCAAGAGATTGAAATGCAGAAGGTGATCAATGCCAATTCACTTAGCGGACTCGACTTGAGGCCGCTCGGAGTTGCTTCTGATCAAACTGAAAGTCAAAGTCAAAGCATGTGACTGTGGTCTTTTCAGATTTTACAAGAGATCGAGTTTTTAGATAAGAAGCTCACGGCAAAGAACAAGAGCATATCAGCGGAAACGTCAAAAACATCACAGGTAATTTCATGTTGTCCAGAAAAATTCCTTGGCTCAATCATCTGATATGAATACTGACGCAGATGCAGAACCGCAAGAGAGGAGGAGTTCCACGGGAATTTCGTGACATTCTGACACCCCGTTGTAAACCGTGGAAATGAGGAACAGGGGAAAGAGGGTATAGATTGAAAATCCAACTTTACCAATAATAGACAGCAAACATGACATTGAAAAAATACCTATGAGAATCAGAAAACAATAAAAATTTTGACATCTTGACCAGCATCACAACAAACTGAGGAAGGAGCCCTCGTGATTCATCTTTCGCATCCGAAATGTCTCCATGAGCGAGCAACACATCTCGGTTCGTCGAGAACCTTACTGCTTGTGCTCTTGGTCTTCATCCTCACTCTCTTTGCGCCAGGGCTCCTGCCCTTCCCTGAACCAAGCTTTCTCCTGTCCAAGGCATTAGAACACAAAGACGACAACATCGAACAGCTACAAGATGCTCGCTGCTCCCCGAAGCCGCCTTCAGATTCCTCAACTGCGATCATGTCAAAGGGGTTCAGATCAAGCAGTGAAGCTAAAACCTCCTCGTCGTTCAAAGTGAAGGCGAGCTCCTCTTTCTTGCACTTATCTACATCTTCTTCACTGTCACTGCGCTTCGGAGATTGTAGAGGGGATTCAAAATCTTCGAGGATGTCTTCATTCCCTATCCAGCTTCCCTGATGGCAAAATCAAAACTCCTCCACGACCTTCCACTGCTACTGTTGTTCTGTCGAACTCCATCTTCGGTTCAGCTTCATTCCCACTGCTGCCGATATTTTCAAGCTTTTCTTGCAACTTCAGCGGTATGTTCTCTTCCCAAAGATCGTCAAGGTTATCATCGTTGTCTTCAGGTTCTGTCAAGGTATCAAGTGAGATGCAGACACAGAGCAAACGATTCAATCACCTTTCCCCTTTTTCTTTGAAGAGGATGGAGATGACGACGCGGCCGCTTTAGCACTGGTAGATGCTGTGTCTCTGTGCGAGCTCTTACCTTCTGACCCGGTCTTCGGGCTGGGCAGCCTTAGTGAACTGACTGCAACGGGGCTGGCAATCGACTTGGGCGATTCCTTTGATGCCGCGCTTCTACCTTTAGAAGCAGTCTGCATTGCAAGAAGATCAGAAACGGACGACACTTGATTGAAAGAACAGGCGTGTAGAACAGGCTCAAAAATTGGTGATGTCATCAAATGGTGTCAAACTTAGGCAGACAGTCGCAGACAGCACAAGCGATGTCAGAAACGTGAGCAAACTTATACAACATACAAAAAAATACACATGAGGGTATGAAGTCAACCTCCTCCTTTGCTTCTTTGCCATCCGTTGTGTCCACAGCACCGTACAGGTGACGGTCGGAGACCGCATCCTTTCTTTTGCCAGAGAGGAAGCGATCAAAGACCTCTTTCAAGACGATAAGTATGAGCAGGAAGACGATAATGAGCAGGAGGAGGACAGTGATAGTCGAGTCTCCTGCTAGGGAGCCGAATGCTGACGCCTCCCCATAGCCGTCTCCTTTCGCCATTGTACTCGTCGCCCTCATCCCCTCGCCCGATTTAGCTCAATCACTTGGTAACGGATAACCGTTGCGGTCTTGCACACCCGGCGATACCTAAGTCGCCGACCAGGCTCGGCCCGCCTGCGATGTCTACTACCCCACCCACCCCCGAATGGACGCCATGACCCCCCTTGTGATTCAAGTTATTGTACCAGGTTTGGGGTACTCTACCCCCTCTTTCATAAAGGACCCTGACCCCAGTCGTTCCGATAATTCGGTCCCCATGGCTAAAAACATTTCATCCCCAAAACGAAATTTCAAAAGGAAAGGTTCAAAATATACCGGTAGTTTTAAACTCACAAATGTGGGTAGTGGTACCTCGATCAACTGGGTCCAGGAAGCATTTGTGACTTTCAGGGGCTTCCATCTCAAAGAAATAATATTTGGGGGTGGGGTAGAATGACTTTACTAGGGGGGTGGTACAAGATGAGTCGTCGTGTGGTTGTGGGGAGGGTAGTGAATGGATGTTGAAACCAAGGTATAACATACCCCCTTGATCAACTTTGTCCACATGGGTAGGGTAACCATGAGCTGTTGGGGGGGTAGGGTCCAGAGACTCTGGATAAACGGTGGGGTAGTATGTGTGAAACAAGGTGGGTGGGTGCAGTCCGAGAGGAGCGCGAGGAAGAGAAATGGCGGGAGGGAAATGTTGTGAAGTATGCATGAGATGTGATGAACTTAGATGATAGCTGGGAGATGCTCTGTACGTTAGCAACTTGATCATAAGCGTTGTTCAAGTTAGATATGTGCACCTGTCTGTTGGTTTTGCTCACGTGAGAAGGGACCGTGGTAGTTCGGATAAGGAAAATGGGGGAGGTCGGTGTTGGACATGGTTTGAGTCCGATGCCATGAGACTCTAGATATAGGCACTCATCCCGTGGGGTTCCAAATGATTTTCAAAGCATTAGATTTGTATTATGCTTATTTCATAGACAGCGTGGGAGGTTCGACAGGCTTGAAGGGGAGTGATGAAGTGCAGTTGGCTATTTTGGAAGTTTTCAAAAAAAAAAATTGATGAGTTTGTTTCCAGGAACTGGACACTGGCAAGTTTCCTTTGTCCCAATTGTTTGAGACAGGGCATTCTTGACAGGCCGTCTGGCCGGAAGATTTGTCGAGCGTTTCTTTTTTTTGAATTGATTTAGATCACGGCATATATTTTTGTCAAGTTGACTTGAAGCTTGGCTCCATGACTTCAATCTCTTGTTCAGATTTGGATAGACAAATTGAACAGCTACTCCGGTGTGAGTATATCAAAGAATCTGAGGTGAAAATTTTGTGCGCGAAGGCAAGAGAAATTTTGGTAGAGGAAAGCAATGTCCAGCACGTGGATGCTCCAGTAACGATCTGTGGTGATATTCATGGACAGTTCTTTGACCTGAAAGAGTTGTTCAATGTCGGTGGAGAATGTCCAGATACCAATTATCTTTTTATGGGCGACTTCGTCGATCGAGGATTTTACAGCGTAGAAACTTTCTTGCTCTTGCTTGCACTGAAAGTACGCTACCCTGATCGAATCACGCTGATACGAGGGAATCATGAGAGTAGGCAAATCACACAGGTTTATGGATTTTACGATGAATGCTTGAGGAAGTATGGATCTGTGAATGTTTGGAGGTATTGCACAGAAGTATTTGACTACCTTTCCCTCTCAGCGTTAATCGAGGGAAAGACGTTCTGTGTTCACGGAGGGCTTTCCCCGTCCATTACAACCCTGGATCAAATTAGAACTATTGATAGAAAGCAAGAAATCCCTCATGATGGTTCTATGTGCGATCTCATGTGGTCAGACCCAGAGGACATCGATGGCTGGGGCCTCAGCCCAAGGGGAGCAGGTTATCTTTTTGGAGGAGACATCACGGCACAGTTTAACCAGACGAATAACATTGAATTGATCGCTAGAGCTCATCAGCTTGTGATGGAAGGCTACAAGTACATGTTCAACGAATCTCTAGTGACAGTATGGTCGGCTCCGAATTATTGCTATCGATGTGGGAATGTTGCTGCCATCTTGGAGTTGGACGAAAACCTCAATCGATCATTCAAGATCTTCGATGCAGCACCTCAGGTATTTTTATCGAAATGTTTCTGAGTGACGAACTGACAAATCTGTAGGAGACTAGGGGTGTTCCAGCCAAGAAACCTCCTCCCGATTATTTCTTGTAGAATACGTGTGTTGGCGATGCATGAAACGGGAGCAGGATGAACGCAGGTTCAGATCTCCTCGCAACACTCTTTGACAGGCTGTTTAAATGTAGTTGGGAAAAACAAATGATCATCACAGCGTTCTGTCACTTCTCTTGTTTCAACCACAATTCTCGCTCGACATTGAAGCGATGTTGATGTACGGATGAGATTTAATCCTATTACAACATCGCATCTCTATCCACAGGATTGAAGAACTTAGAATGTTCAGCATGACCCCCGATTCCGTCGAACGCCTTCACAAACTCCAGCGCCCGAGACTGTACGCTGTCAGGAGCGGGGGCCTGGACTTCCTTCTTTGAAGGCACAACTGCCTTGTTAGGCTTGTGGGTAGACGCCGAGGGTGCTAGAGGCACCTCATACTTCACCTTGTGCATGGCTGCCTTCTTGAGGCGCTCCTCGGCCTCTTTCTTCTTCTCGGCGCTGTCATGCTTCTGTATCAACTTCTCTAGAATGCTCTTCTCAATAGAATGCAGCCTTGTAAACCCTCCTGATGTGGATGAATGGCCTTCCTCGTCCTTGTCCATCCCCCCGAAGATGAAGTTGGTGTCGTCCTCTATACTTCTCTCATCCTCTTTCGCCATTTCCTGAACTGCTTTTTGCTTGATCAACTGATCTGCTTGTCGGAGCACCTCCTTGGGAATCTTGATATGAGACTCCTTCTCATGGTGAGCAGAGGACTTACGAGTCTTGACAGTCTGAGATGGGACCGAGTCCCTCTTCACGTTGTACCGATCATGGTGAACATCTACTTTCTCCGATCTGATGTGACTGCTTCCTTCTGCTGGCCTTTCCTCGTCGGTCCTTGGCACCTTTTGAAGGAGCGACTGTGTCGATTGCTGATGATAGAAGGAGGGACTGGACTCATGACGAGACTCCCTTGACTCATCGAGTTTCTTTTGATAGAGTCTTTGAGCTGCGAGGTTCTTACGATCCTGCAGCAGGCCAGATCGAATGTGATGCTCCACCTCCCCCTCCTTCACGGCAAGCTTCTTGATCTGGCTCTTCAAACTCTCAGTGTTTTTCTCCGTCTTGTCCTCGAAGTCTCTGATGTCACTCAATGCCTTCCTGATCTCAAACATATCTTCTGCGTGTGAGGAATGAGCATCATTCTGTGCAGGCTTGACGTGCTGCTTCGAAGCACCTTCATCCTCCCATGCCTTCTGATCGTCCACACCGTGCTCTCTCTCCCACCTGTACAACGCTGCGATAGCTGCATCCACATGCGGAGGTCTCTTGGCCTTCCCTTCTGCAGGCCTTTTGCTGGACTCGGAGGAAACTTCCCTATGGGATTGTTCTGTTCCAGTCTTTTCCCTCTTGTCCTGATTCGCGTGCAAGTCCATCGGCTCAGAGCTCCGTCTCCTTCTAGGAACACGATCAGCTCCACCATCCCGGAGTGCATCAGCCCCATCCTCGTCCACCGAGCGCACTGGACGCCTCTCATGTCTATGTCCATGCCTGCTATCACGAAGGAGCTGTGATTTGGAGGATTGGAACCAAGTGGGAGATTCTGAGGCTGTGCTTCCCTCCACATAGTCATCTGGGTAGGAAGTAGCAGCAGTATGTCCACCATCAGGATCTTCACGGAAGACAACAGGGACGGCAGGATACGTTGTGGTGCTCGGGTTCCGTTCTAGATAATCTCGTTGGCTCTCTCGCCACATTTTAGCAGCATCCTCGTCAGAAACCCCGTAGCCTTCTGGAGCCGGGAGATAGTCGTATGTTTGATAGACGTTGAAGTCTGCGGGATGCTGCTCGGAAGAAGAGGTTGCATACGGAATAGCACTCAGCTGCGTGCGCTTTGAAAGAGGAGGGCCGGTAGGAGGAGCCGCCCTTTTACGATCAAGGTTTGCTTGGTTGAGGGTACTTGCTCTCAACTGCTCATTTCGCCCCATCTCAGAGATGACATTCGAGGGATATCTTCCATTCCTGAAGGTCAGAGGCGACAATGCTTGCGTCAACTCCTTCCTCTGCTCTGCTGCTTGCGAAAACAACTGCGCCCACCTTTGCTGCTGAAACAAAGAATGGAGCCGCTTGGCCGCATTCACTCCCATTTCTGGCGCTGAGACTATCGCTGATTGAGGTGACCATCTGCCAAATAAAGAAGCAGCCTGATCTTCCCGTGCTGTAAGGGCAAACAAACACACAGTCGCTGCCAAGACCAGCCCAGCGGCGCCTATCTTCCATAGACGCGACGGATGAGCAGGCATTTGTACAAAGATACGCGTTTTCCGTCAGATTTGATCAGCCTCTTATGTACTCACGAAGTCACTTCACTTGCATGAGATCAGTTCAGTGAACAACAGCTCCCGGTTGGATCCCTTCTTCTTCAAACGATGCTGTCAAAAGTTGTTTCTCTCCGTCCCGTTACTTCTCGCTCCCACTTGTTCTCTCCTCTCCTCTCCTCTCCTCTCACTCTCCTCTCCTCTCCCCTCCTCTCCTCTCCTCTCACTCTCCTCTCCTCTCCCCTCCTCTCCTCTCACTCTCCTCTCACTCTCCTCTCCTCTCCTCTCCTCTCCTCTCGCTGTCTGCTTCTTCAATGTGCCATCGTCACTTGCCGTGCATCCCCGCCATTTCCGGAAATAGAGAATAACGGGTAAGTGTAACGGTCCTAGTTGTGAGGGCCGGGTTTGAATCGATTTTTTTTCAGCGGAAGATTCTGAGGCAGGCGCGGAACTGTGCCGTCGGGGAGCCTCAATGGTGGATGGTGTGGCGGGAAGGGAAGGGAGGACGGGGGTCAAGAAGAAACGAGAGGAGAGAAGCATGCACGAGCAAAGATGAGAACGATGCAAGATGTGAACAGCAGATTGAGGGTCTCAGGTAGCTCATCTTGTCGACAAACTTCTTGTTTGTTGGGTGATCGGGGGTGAAGGATAGGCTGCCAAATGTGTGGCACCACAAGGATGCTAAAGCACAAGTGTTTCATCTCCTCTTCTTCCTCGTGAGCATGGTACAATAATGTCCGAAGCCATTCAGTCGCATGCAGTCAGGAGTCCACCGCTGTGTGCTCCATTTGGAGATCACTATCGGTATAACAATCGGACGGAGGGCACAGCGGTTGAGGGCAATGAAAGCAAGGCGTCTAGAAGGAAGAGATCATCTATCTTCTTGTCCCCAAAAGAACAGAGCGAGACTGTGAATGCTAGGAAGCTGGGAAGAGCCTCCCAATCCAAGTCTGATAGTAAGTGATTCACAACCCTGATGCAAAGCTAATCAAGTTTTGTATCGCAGAAGCTCTCACGGAGAATATGTTGAAGCTGATCAGGCAAGATACCAACTCTCCACGCCGCAAGATGCTTCTTCGTCATCATCGTTCAGCTGTCATCAAGCTTGAAACTTTGCGCTTATTCGCTCTTGTCTCCGTCTTTTGCGCCATTTCTGCTCCTACGCTGGAGTCATGGAACTCAACATTGCAAGGGAGTGCAAAGCCGGCGTTGGCCCGGATAGATTCTCTCAAGATCCTCACTGTCTTTTCTGCGAGCATGTTCTCTGTTTGCTTCTACATCATCGCTGCGACTTTCAAGGATGTCGATGCCCCCTTGCCTCCGAGCACGATCAAGGCTCACTTGCAAAACTTGCTGAGATGTAGGTGGTCGGAAGGATGCTCTCGATCTGTGAGCTCACTTGCAAGGAAGTGCAATGAGTTTGATGCTGTTGACAGCCCTTGTACGGCATGAATGAAGACATCCCCAAGTTCTGTTCAACGCACAAACAGGTGTATGAGGGGAAATGACGACATGTCTGTACTCTCTGCTGTGATTGATGGGTTCTTGATGCCTGATGTTGGTGCCTGTGACTTTGTTGTTTTGCAGGAACATCACAGAAATCTCAAGGTGAAGCTGTGCATGTCGCCTGAAGGGTGTCAGAAACAAGTGATTATGAAATGAGAAGTCCGTATCGAAGGCTGACATGTTGCCGACAAAAGGCTTCTTTCGGCTCAGTCAATGACAAGCATCCAAGATTCTGTCATGTGTGTAAAATTACATCACTGTCTTTCTTTCTCCTCATTGCTCATGCAGAATCACAAGCTGGAGTCACACGTATTTGATAATGCTTCATTCCAGACTGTGATCGCCTTAAAACAGATCAACATTGTCGCTAGAACATGTTCACATGCTGACTGCAAACGAAGAGTATGAACGATGATGAGGAGGAGAAGGAGAAGGAGAAGGAGAAGGAGAAGGAGAAGGAAGAGAATGAGGAGTTGAGGGCGGGGAGGAGGAGGAGAAGGACGTTGTGGTGATAGTGCTTATGGTTTTGATTTGTTTCAGCCGATCTTTGGGTCGATTCTAGACCTCATTCCAAGATTCTGCATCCATCACAAGCTGGAAGATCATGTTAACTTGAGAAGGTGAGGAAAAGAAGAGAAGCCTTCAAATGACAAGAGATAGAAGAGCGATGCATTGTGATCATATTGACAGCGATGAATTGTGATCATATTGTCATGCTGAAACTTAATTTCATGATATGAGATTCAGCTTGTTAAACGAGTTGTCTGCGATGACATGTCAATCGTAAAGTGACCGTAATGCAGCAAAAGATGTGAGTTCAACGGTTGTCCCAAACAACCTGCATTTGGAGATCCTGTACAGAGTAAGAAAGTTGTTACGTGCGAGACGATTTCTGATACAATAACTCTTGCAAACGTAGAGATTGCACGTTTCTGTTTTGACCACAAGCCGCAAAGCAACTGGGTCAACATCATGGCAAGGAGGTGTGAGGTGATCCGAACGTGTTTGTCTCGCTGCTGTTCTCAGATAATTGTTGTCGTCAGCATGAGAACTGTCTCTCTCGCCCGTCATATGCCGCCTCCTACAACATGACAGCCAGGTAAGGCTCTGCCGTTGGGGTTGTAACATGTTACATAACGTCTGCAGATTCTGTTCACTGCACAAACCAGCTGGATTTGTGAACATGTATGTGCGACATTGTTCGGATGAAAGCGGTTGCAAGCGACAGGTGAGAATTCGAATGTCGGTGGATTGTGCGTGAGGCGTCGATGATGGCAGGCATCTTACGGATATGTTGGGTCGAAGACTGACCTAAGATGTACCAAACACAAGCGCGATGGGATGGTGAGATAAGTTGATAGCATTCCCTTTCTTCCACATCTTGTCTTCGTGTCTCATCTTTCATGTTTCATTGTTGCACCATCTTTTTCTCTCGTGTCGCATCTCTGATATCTTGTCTTTCATATCACATGTTCACACTTTATCTCTCAATCTGTCTTCCCTGCTGACTTGCTTCACTCGATGGTTCAATTCACTTTGACCGAAAGATTCACATGTGGGGATTGTGTAAAACCAAGGGATGCACCAAGAACGCCTCGTTCGGTCCAGTCGACGGTAAAGGCTACCGATGCTCTTATGGGATGAACTGACATGCTGCCTCCTGCCTTCCTCCTCCTTCATACTGCCTCCTGCCTCCTGCTCCCTTCTCCTCCCTTCCCTCTCCTGCCTTCTTCTTCCCTCCCTCTTTGCAGGGCATCGCACTTTCTGCGCGAAACACTGCAACAAAGAGGTTCACGTCTACATCCGAAAGTCCGGGAAATCTTGACGGGCTGGAGCATATGACTGCAGCGATCTCAGACATCAACAGCAGCAGCAGCAGAGGAAGAAGAAGGAGGAGGAGGAGGAGGAGGAGAAGGAGCAGATGAGTTCGACTTTACAGCTCATCGTTTCTAACACATTTCTCCTTCACATCAAATCCGATTTGCTTGTAAATCCCATGGCATTCTTCGTCCATGATAATGTCTGTCCAGCAATCAAGTCCGCTGAGTTTGCACCCTGTAGAGAAAAACATTACCTCTCTCCACTCCTCCCACCCTTCCCCCTCCTCCTCATCATCATCACTACCACCACCACGATCAATTGTTGTTCTATCCCCTCCCTTCCACTTTAGCTCAACTTTATCCCCTCCCATCGTCAGCACGAGCAGGCATGGTCGACTCACGTCCAGGAGCACTTGCTTGAGGTAAGTCTGATCCTCCATCAGGTCCTTGTACTTCACCTGCACAGCCTCAGCGGCTGCCACGTCACCTGCCAGCAACACACACCTGGATGGGCGCGAGATGCGCGATCACAGCCTCGCTCAGCAGGGGCTTGAACTGCCCCCACTGCATGTGCTGAACCTCCGACAAGATGTCCTGGAGGCGAATGAGGAGATGAGGAGGAGGATCGAGAAAGGTGAGCATGACGACAGCAGCAGCAGCAGCAGCAGCAGCAGCAGCAGCAGCAGCAGCAGCAACGAGGTTTACCTCTTTGCTCTTGCCGGTGACGGACTGGTAAATGTTTAGGAGGTTGGTGCACTCAGGTCGTTCAGGGTTATCCCACTCAATTCCTGACAAAGAATGAGAATGGTGGTGGTGATGGTGAAGAAGACGAAGAAGAAGAAGAAGAAGAAGAAGAAGATGATGATGATGATGATGATGATGGTAGGGAGGAGGGGAGGCGGGAGGGGAGTGAAGGAGCGAAGAGCGAGGAGAGGAGAGGAGCGGCGTGGAGGAGGAGCGAGGGAAGAGGGAAAGAGTA